CATGGTATTTATTATCAAGGCAAGAAGTGCATGGGTTTATGTTTGTGCGTGTGCGTGTGCTTGTTTGCATGGATTCCCATTAGTCATGGCTCGGGCTATTCTTCCTGGTGTCCTGAGGTTGTTCTGCAAATTGGAGAAAACTAAGACATCGGGGCTCATTGTTTTAACAGCCAAGTCAAATAAGCAATGTCTCGCAAGGAGATATTCTGCTATTGTAAAGAGTGTAGCTTAAAATGTAACTGACAAAAGGTTCATTTTGGAACTCAAAGCTTCTAATTTAAGTTTCAATTCATAGAAAATGACTGTTTCTGCAGAAATATTGTGTGACTAAGAATATCCTTTTTTTTAATTCATTTTGACTGAACCCCAGCATCAACATCTGGAGATGGGTCCCCGGGTGCTGATGACAGGATGCCCTGTCGAAATGATGGGTCAAATGTAGAGAACATTCCTTTGGAGACACAGAAGTATATTAAACAGCATAGTTTTTTGGAACAGGTAATATATTGTTAATCAATTTATTCTCTGTGGTATTGTTGATTGTTAAGATACAGACAATATTGATAAGTGTGGAACAATTGACCGTTATTTAATCAAGATAGATTTCAGAATCTCTTTTTCTGGGGAGGCCTGATTAAGAGGGCGGGAGTGAGGTTGAGTGGAATGTTATAGGGGACTATTATATGTATTTTAGTGGTAGGGGAAACCGGAGCACCCGGAGGAAACCGAAGCATACAATCTCCACTCAATGGCCCTCATTTAAGAAACTTGGGCAGAAAAGGCTGTATATTTTTGGTTTATATTTCATTTACGTCAGACTCAACGCGAGATTTATGAACGTGTGTGATACGCACAGATCTGAGCGTACGCATGCTGCGGCTATTGATAAATGGCGGAGTGAAAACTAGCGTATTTATGAAAGTCACGCCTAGAAATATTCAAAAACGCCCCGTTTTTACAAGGGGAAGACGGCCAGCAAGTCAAGTTGGAAGCATCAGAAGGCCTGTTAGTGACACGCACTGAGTTTATATTGAGTTTATTGTATTATTTTGTCAAAAAAAAAACAATAAAAAACCCCCGCTATATTATATATGCACGTTTCTTCCCTAGCAGTGTGCTCTACCCGTGAGCCCGTTCCCACACAAAAAAAAAGCTTTGCCATATCTCTGCCATCGCTGCGTTCGGGGCTTTATGCACAAAACTAATTATGAAATACGTTTCTTTGCCAGAGGTGAATGAGAAAACACAAATAGCCATGCGTAATTACGCAGGGTCTGCCACAGATACGGAGAAATAGATGGTCACACATTAAGTAAGTAAGTAAGCCAGGTGTATTTGTATAGCGCCTTCACAGAGCAGGATCACAAAGCGCTTCACATTAAAAAAAAAAAAACATGCAGATGAGAATAATACACACACAAGTCAGATTTAAAAACAAAGAAACAGAAGAGAATCGCTCAGGTCATTTAAACCAAGTCTCAGGAGCTTCTCGTGTCACATGACCAAAACCATATCAACAATGTGGACAATGTCTGACCTCGTAACCTTTATCCTGCTGAAGACACAGGTAATAACAGCAATAACAGAGCACTACAATCAACTGTTCCCGGACTCACTTGCCCTGCAGCTGCTGTCCACCATGATGTCTTTATATCCACCACACAAGTCTGTCTTTTCACCTTTTTATTGGTGAAAGTCTGCTGCAGGCACATAGACGCCACAGCACCCACTTGCAGTGACTCTTGGCTCTCCTCGTGGGTGTACAATATACCGCTGCTCCCCACAGGTTAATCTCAAACCTGTTGGTGGCAGGGTATTGATTGAGAGCATAAAGGAAATATAGAAATGCTGCATCATGATGTAACTGTAAGAAACTCACAGTAGTTATTTCATTACACTTGGCTGTCATCTCAGGGCCATTCTTTCATTCTGGACATTTTGCTGGTGTTTCGTGGCAGTGGTTTTTTTCTAAAGTTAAAAAGCACCAAAATCCACAAATCAAACCTGCACATTTCAGCTAAAGGCATTCAGAAATTATTGCACATAAAAACTCAACAATTACAGGCAACTATTCACTTTTTTGCACATTTTATACATGGAGATGGAAGCCACCCAAAAATCAATCCTGTTTCTCAATGTTTTCCCTCAACAGAGCGAATATTCCCTAATGCAAGTGAATTTCTTTTATTCTTTGTTGATGCCTGAGTTGTATATGTCATCTAAGAAAAATGTCTACATGATAATAGGCTTCTGGATTTTTACACAGTCAATATTTACAGCTGTGTTTACTATTCTAACTGTGGCTAAAAATCAATACACTGGCTTATAAACATGTTGCAATTTCTTACAATGCGTTTTCTTGTTTACAGCAGGAAACTTGTCTATTTCCTGCGAGTGACAGCTCGCTCGAGGCCTGTAATAAAGCTGTCTACACAAAGAGCGAGGGATCAGGAAGGAGCTGCGTCACTGGTGTCCCACATCCAAAGCTGAGGATGCAAGCAGAAATATTTTAGAATTAAATCTGTCTGAGTAGTAGACCCTTTAGTTTTGTATTCACATGATTTCAATTCAATTAAATTCAATATATTTTTTGTATAGAACCAAAATCACAACAGCAGACATCTCGAAGGACCTGGTCCTCAGAGAAGTGTTTGATGAAAGCTTCTACTATAGAAGAGAAGTGTTGTGGTCGTATGTTATTTCCCCTGAGAATAAACAGCTCAGGACTCATCGTTCAGAAAACAAACTCCTTTGAATGGATTGTTTTTAAATAGCTTGACTTTCATTTGTGCTGTTTTTCCATGCTAATTCTCTTTAAACAATATTAGACCAACACTAAACATATTCGTTTACCTCTTAGCACAAAAATACATGAACTAAAACAATCCTCAGAGCTCTGCAGCTCACGTGGCTCCTACAGAGAGAATGTCCTTCTGTAATATTGCTGTTTACATGAACTGTTTCAGAGATCACATGCCTGGGTCTATGGGGCCACACCCTGTGATATCTGGTATTTATCAAAACAAATCAATCTACACCAGAGACTGAACATATAGATTATTCCCTTTTATCGCCTTCAAAAGGGGTTGTGTTTCATTAGAATTAGTTAACTTAAAAGATAGCTGGCCAATTTTTTTTTTATTTCCATAAATCTCGAATGCGAAAAGGACCAAATGTCATTTTTTTCTTTTTAAGGAATGGAACTGTGCCATTTGGTGGATATATATATATTTTTTCTAATTCTGTTATTTTTATTAAGCGCTAATTGTCAGTACTGTTCTTTATGGTTCTGCTCAGCCCTACCAGGCACAGTATCAGAAGAACCTAAAACAATATAGCTGAGAACAAACGTAAACAATGGCGGCAGGTACACTAATGCTAACGTGTGCTTCGAACACGACACAGAGGATTTTTCTTGTCCTTTGTTCATCCAAACAAAACGATGCAAAGCTGTAGTTTCTGCTTCCATTGTCTTTGCTACTGTTAAATGCAGAATGATGCTCAGCTGATAAGAGAACATCAATGAAACAAAATGATCCATTCACCCTAAAACTATAAGTATGTAGTCAGCCAATTGAAGTCCCCTCACTTTAAAAGATCAGAGATGGCTGTAATTACAAACTTTCATTTTTATTTTATTTTTTTCACAATTGATGACTGATTAATTAATTGTTTGCCCACTGTATTTTCATGAGGTTTCTGAACATGCAAAAATCATGCAGGAATCAACTGCATCAGCGAAACATGTTTATTTGTTGCATTCCTAACCGTCACAGATCTGTTAACCTATTTTAAAGAGCTAGAAGAGAATAAGAACAGAGAATATCGCTCAGTAAGCTGCCGTCCAAAGTAAACTGGGTCATCTGTGGTCGGACAGGTGTCAGCGACAGTGGAGGGAGAGTGGAGGAAGCACCTGTCACCTGCTGTGGAACAGGCTAATGTTAGCATCATTAGCATGCTAGAGCACAGGCTAAAAACACACTCACTGACATAAAGACACTCACTAAGGACAGTTTGAGAGATGGCTTTTTATTATTTTACTAAGGAAAGACACATAGACTAATACGGACAAATATTCCTCTAGCCAAGTCGTTACATGAGTGTTATTTATTATCGTTATCATTAAAAGTATTTTGGGAGATGTTTGTACCGATGTCAAATTTGGCGTGAATGCTAATGATTGGTCTAGCTCACTGTCAATCATTGTTCCCAGCACCAACCACACGTCCCTTGATCGCCAATTCTGTTTATGTTGCCGGTTGTTGGTTAAAACTGGTTCTTTGTGATTTCAGCAAAAGTGGAAAAACAGCTTCAGAGGACCGAAATAAAACTTGAGTGGCCCAGAGAAAAAGAAAAAAAAAACCCAGAGAGACTGTACTATCGGCAAGATTCTCCCAAATACCTTGTTTTATGCATATATTGTATGTGAAGGCTGTCTCCTTTTCTGTCTCCTCACGGCTGTTTCATCCTTTGCAAAGCTGTTTGTTTTGGTCCCTTTTGTTATCTTTGGAATCCCCATAGCCTAACGTTTGGCGACAGACGCAGTTTCTGGTCTTGGAGTGTATTAGAAACAAAGCTGGAGATTACAGCATTTGCATAAAACTACAACTTTGTTTTAGTATGTAAAGAATACTTTTTAATGCTATATTATTTTATAAAACAAAACGTGTGTCATTTCTTATACAAGCTCAACTGGCCATGGCCCCAACAGTGATGCATTATTGCCTGTCTGTATGACCAGGAATTACAGCCAAGTTTGTGAATAGCAACGTTCAAGAAATCAAATATCCAACTAAGAGCGGTGCTGGTACACTTTAGATGATCCAGATATACAGTATATTAACTACTACATAATAATAACTGCAGGTGCCCTCTCAGCACTCACTCTATCCACTTCTTTCTAGAATGTACTGTATGTTCCTGATAAATATTTTAACCTCTGCTGATCAGTGGATCAAACATGCATATATTTTGCTAGAGAACAGCCAGTACAGATGTTGATGGGTAATTAGCAGCTTAATGCACCTTGAGTCAAAAGGAAAAATAAAAGTTGCTTAAAAAAGGCCTCATTTACTGTGATTGTGGGTTTCCTCTGCACTATTCATTGCTCCAATACTGTTCATGTCTAAAAGGTACATTTGAAAAGGATTTGTATTCATTAGTAGAATTTATTTATCTCTGAGTAAAAGATCAATGACCTTGCCTTTCCAGTTCTGATTTGAAAGAGCTCACATAAAAATAAAAAATATGTTTAATTAGTTCAAACACTGACTGACATTTTGATTATAATACCAATTAATGAATTGTCTGCATGTGTTGCAGTTAACATGGCTCAATATTAATTCTGGGGTAGGTTCACAAACTTCCTGGTTCCAGTTCGGTTCTGCTTTTCTTGATAAGGTGGTGTAGTTAAAAGTGATGGTGGTGGTTGGAGGGGCCGATGGAACATACTGGTTGCCTCGCTTCTGTCAGTGTGCCTCAGGGCAGCTGTGGCTACAGTGTTTGGAGTGAATTTAAAGCGTCTTTGAGTGTCCAAAAAAGCGCTATATAAAACCAATGCTTTTTTTCTTTCTTTTTTTACACTCAAATGTATTTCCTGTTTTAAAGATCTGTGCCATAAAGTCCTGATTATACTGTATATTGGATGTACAGTGCAAACAACTACACAACATATGCTTGAATTTGAGGAAACATATCTTGGTATGAGTAGGCTATATTTAGATTGAAAATGGAAAAAGGGCTTTTGTTAGTTTTTTCTTTTTTTAATCCAAGTGAGATATGTTGGATATTTAAATCTGTTTATGAAATTCTTATTAGAACATATTTTAAAAGATATAAACTACTTTAATCAAGCATTATTATAATACGGTATTTGTCTATCTGTGTTTTTGCAGTCTTATCACTCTTTTTCTGCTGTTGCCTCAACCACTCAAAATCCTCAAGGGTAAAATGGGGTAAGTTCAGATTGCTCTCTCTTTTCTCGCTCTCTCACCCAATTTTTCAAACTCACAAACTTATGACTTTATTTGTGAATGCATTCTTCTTCTTGTTCCATGATGCTCATATGGATCTAAAAAAATCTATGAACAGATTTTTCCCCAACAGTATACTTTTTCAAACTGCCTACATTTCAAAACTCAAAGTTTTTGCCATATTTTGAAAGAATGACTTCTTGATCAGAGATCTCTCTCTCATCATGAAGTAAGAGTGTCCACAGCTTGCATCTTGTTGGCAGCAAAGACGGATGCAAATATGAGGAGGAAATGTCAATATTGTGCAGCCCCAGGAGTGTGTCTCAGGCATTAAAATTCAATCTTTTCTTGCACATTGGGTTATTTGACAATGCTTTTGAAAAATTATATCAAAGTTCTGCTTAACTTTAGCCATTTGTTTTTTTTTCCATATATGGAAATAGCAATAATTGTACTTCAAATAAATAGCACAACCCTAGGTCAGAGCAAAGTTCTCTTTTGTCCATGTTTGCGTGTGTGTTTTATATAACGTGCTTATACGGTTTTGACGGTGCACAGTTGCGTCTTGAATTGCGTCTGTTGACTGTAGTTTCTGCCCTGCCCCCGGATCCTGTGTGGTCCTATAAAAGCCACCTCCTCCGCAGAGCCTCAGACTTGAACCGATCACTGGCGCAAAAAGTCCTCTGCCTGCAACTCCTCTTCATCATCTGCAGGTAAGAACATCACTTCATATAATCAATAGATAGATAGATAGATACTTTATTGATCCCCCGTAGGAGAAACTCAGGGGTCCAGCAGCTGAAGACTCATCCAGGTTTGTTGTACAGTCTGACAGCCGAAGGAACAATGAGCTATATATCAAACATATCTTTAGAATAAAAAAACAAGCAGTTGGAAATTAGGTCTGATTAGTGATTGCGCTATTTAATATTGTATTTAATTTCACTTGGGAATTCCTAGTTATTACATAACAGCAAAAATTGGCTTCGGGTTGCATTGCCCCACCAATCTTAATACAACCGAACAAATGCATTAACAACAAGTAAACAATGAAGAAATTGATTGATAAATGCGTGGCAATTTGTCATAGTGGTGTGGACATCTTATACCACATCATTATGAACTGAATAATGAATGAGCGACTATGCAGCTGCTGGGATTGTATTTGCATAACATATAATGGATAGGTACATTCGCAATTACTTATGGCACTGGCAACGAAACATGCAATTGATTAATATTATTTCGGTCAACATTTTTCAGGTACGATTTTTTTTTTTATGCAAATTGACTTTAACAAAACAAGGAATAGGCTGAAGATGTAGTTTGATTGTTGCGTTCCTATTGTGGATTATTGAAATTGATGATTGCAGATTGAATCCTTAGTCCATTCTACATCATGGTGCCTGATTATTGATGTGATACTTTGTAGAGTGTAACAGCCAATTTTATGCAAGATATTGGCGCTGATATTAGTTAAGCCAAAAGCCTTGAGGCTGCGGATGCTATTGCTTTTATTTAATTGGATCATTTGTTTGGGATGAGCAGGATTCCAAAACATGGCTCCATTATTAGTGCACAAATAAACAAATAACCATGTAAACCCGATGGGTAATTATCTTAGCCTTAGAGAGAAGATGAGGCTTTCAACTTTCCAATCACAGAGTAGAAAATATATCTCTATTGACAAGTGTGTAACTAAAAACAAATTGAAACTTGGTCCATGCCTCCAAACCATCAGTCTGTCTTAGTAAAGAATGAGGGAAAACAAACTTGGACACACAAATGAGTCCCTATGTGGAATGGAGCTGGCTTTCATGTGAAACGCGTCGGGAGAAAAAACAAACAAACACTGCGCATTCGGCAAAATGAGGATTTGGAGATAATTGGCGGATTCCCTTTGGGACTTAGCTGTTGTTGCCAGATTAGATTCATCATTACACAAACTGGCTGCTTGTTCAACACCATGGAAAATGATGCTCAATTTGTCCAATAGAGATGTAGATTTGGCATCGGCGTGAGCAACTTGTGATGCAGTGACATACAAACTAATAATAAGAACATAATATCTTTTGTTAGTTCCAAATTGACAGGGAAGGATTGAGATAGAGACCATAATGGTAATGGCCATAATAGAACCAACATGCAAAGGTGTATAGACAAAATTTACTTTATTTACAAATTATTAGCTCAAAATAGAGTGGGAAATAGAAAATGTATAGACTCCCTCTCCATGTACATAATCTACTTTTTACTTTCTAAATGGAGCTTTTGAAGACATTGATATAGTGCCCTCTTACTACAATAATATTGAGAACTAATTTCTCCTTCTTTTGTTGACCAGACATGAATATAGGTTTGAGTGTGTGTGTCGTCCTGGCTGCTCTCTTCAGCAGTTCCTTGAGTCTGCCTTCACAAACCACGGTAAATCATTTGTACAATTATACGTTCCCTCAATGGATTTCAGCCGATGTGCTTCTTATTGAACACACTGCTGTTTTTGCTTAGTCACAGAATACAGAGGCGTCTGAAGCTCTCGCCCCACCTGCCGAGGACCCTCACATGCGCCAGATCCGCTCCGTAGGTCCAGAGGCTTCCCAGGCCGACGCAGAGGTGCGCAACACACTCGCCCAGCTGCTGGCTCGGCTTCTGTCGAGGAAAGGTGAGCTCAACTGCACATTTATATCTGCTAAGTCGTCTTCTCGTCTTTGGAGGTCCCACATACTGTATATCACAGTGATAGTGGTTTATAATGTTAGACTTATATGGAAAAATATGTCTGATAAGTCTTACTCATGAGATTATCCATCATGTACAGCGATGGATAATCACAAAACACTATAACATTTTCTACTGTATATGAGAATATATTTAGTATGTTTGTTTTAGGATATTTTTCTATACCACAGTTACTTCAAAGTTTGGGCAGTGTGGGTAATTGTGCCTTTTGAAGGAAAGTGGCTTAATGTACCTTTTATCACGTAGAACTGACACGACAAACCCATATATATTGTCTGTATGGCCATGAAGCGATCTATATCCGTATATTGTGTGTTAATCCCAAATTAAAATATAATGTTTATTATAACAGGCTGATTGATGGTTAGATTGATAGATTAATCATATTATCGTCCAGAATGGGAATTTTCTTTCAAAGACTCAATTGGAAAGAATAATGTTGGTGCCTATATGCCCGGCTCACAACACCTTATGAAACCCATTTAAAGACTGTGTGTTTAATAAGGACATGTTTAAACACGTGTTTCTCTGTGTGACCCCTCGTCACTCGCGCCGTGCTGCTGTCCCACCATCTGTCCCCTGAACCGCTCTGCCACTAACACTGACTCATTATTTATTCTCATACTTGGATCTTTTTTCATTACTCTCTTAAAGTGCAGCTGGATTATTATAATTACCTGCTGAGATTATCCCCTGTGGAAAAGATTAATTTTAAAGTAATAATGTAACTTGGTATTTGGTAGTAACTTGTGCCACTTTGCAACTCTAAAAGCCCCTGTGGAGACTGCTTTACATTGCATGTTTTTACAGCAGGAGATTGCATCTTATGGACACAAACATTCAGGCACAAACATGAGAAACAGTCCTTTAAAGATGTCTGATGGATTTGTGTCACTAATTGTGACCAATGCAGTTAATAATCATAATTATCAACCTGTTAACCCTAATAGACATGTCACAAGACCATTAACAATGTATCAGCAAAAAAAGTAAAATATGGTAAAGCATTTTAAATGTGTCTCTTTATAACACTGCATTTATGTAATTCAAGAGACTAAAGGATGGTGTTTAAGACCCTTAATTCATCCCACAGGGGGCATTTCAGTGTTGCAGTACACATTAGAAAAGAGAGAGAGCTGTAAATATTTAGCTATAACAATAAAACTATTATCACACTTTAGGAAAAAATGTGTTTAAAATAAGGAACTATCTGAGAGCCTCGATAGAAATAGACTTCTGAAATGATCAGTGAAATCAGTGAAAGCCCTGGTTTAATTGAATCCCATAATTTACATTAATACTGAATTTACTTCATACCAAATATATCCACTCACAGAGACTGCAAAATTTCATTCACAAATCAGTGTGTTAATGTATTTCTTCTACATCTGCATTTCATATGTGTGTGCCTCTGAGCAGCAGCGCAGCAGCAGCGGTCCTCCCTGAGCAGCAGAGCCAGTGGACCCGTGCCCGGACACAGGATAAAGGACAGAGACTACCTGGGCTGGATGGACTTTGGCCGACGCAGCGCTGAGGAGTATGAATACGCCTCCTAAAGACACGATTTCTTCTACAATCATCAACAGTCGACAGATAACGGCCTTTTCTCACTGCACTTAATCACAAACCTCACTGTATCAAGTCCATTCGCATATTCAGGGCCTCTCTACATATTGTCACTGGGCAAGTTGCCGTGTTATAAAACTGTTTTTCAAAAGCAACCCAAAATATATTTATATGTATCATTAAATTGTGATTAAAAGCCTTATTAAAAGTGTTTTATTTTCATGTTCACTGAATGTATCCTCTATTACTGTATAGCTAATGTGGGCTGCTCTTCTGTATCAAAATCTGTGCAAATGGAAAGATAACTCATCGACTGCTTGTATTGTGGATTTTATTGAATTGAACTGATTTGTTGCTTTTGTGATGAGGTCCACACATTTACAAACACAAAAGTACTGAGCAGAGGCTTCATTCACATGTATGGGGCTCAAGTGGGCAATAAGAGACAAACAATTTAGAAAATATTTGTACAAAGGGAAAAGCTTGTAATGTTAAAGAACTTTTCACCATCTCTTTATCTCAACAATATTCTTATTTTTGATCCGTTTTGCATGGAGGGGCTTTGAGGGGAGCAGTGAAGGAGATCACATATGCGTGTCTGGGGGAATTGACAAGAGGACACCATCAAAGCCAAGCCGTGCTCATTAGTCCTCTAGAAACCAACACATTCACTTATATTTGCATTTCAAATAGTATCCTGGACACTTAAATGTGTTGTTGGGAATCTGCATATTCAATTAATATTTTAGTTAAAGAAATGTCACTTGTGTTTGAATTTTAATTTGTCTATGTTGTATACAGTACATAATACACTACAGTATTTGGTGAATACAGTGATAGATTCAATCAAGCAGAAGTTAAATCGTTTCAATTCATGAATAAATCTGAACTGCCTCACTGCTGCGTGTTGGTCATGTTTGGGGAATGTTAAGCTGAAAGAAAGTCAGGCTTAACAATTATATTATCGATGATGCATTGGGAACTTGAATACAGTAGAAAACCCGGATGTGCGACTATAACTATAAAATAGAGGATCAAATAAAACCATGTGTAGAATCCATTGAGTGTGGAGTTTCAAGAGATTTTATTGTTTTGGAATTTTTTTTGAGATAATCAATGATACACAAACTCTTTCCCCCATAGTGAGTGGTTATGTGAAGCCATTGATTGTCAAACAAATGTGATTTATATTTTCAAATTATATCATTATTGAGCCCAGATTCCCATCGTTCATAGTTGTTAAATGGACAATACTGGTAAACTTATAATCAGGGACAATTGAGTAGTTTCTGTTTTCATTATAATTTGGAAATCTAATAATGAACTTTAACCTTCACACAGCCATCAGCCATGAATGAAAACATTTCTGCGTTATCATAAAAAATATGGACTTTCTTTCCTTCAAAATGTATAACTAGTGTGTAAACTGTCAAACACAACTCTGGACTGGCACTTTTCTGCCCCCAACAGGTAAGACTGTAAGCCTGCATCACAGCCAACGTTTTCTAAACAATCTATTGTATTTTATTTAATTCTATAGTTTAGACACATGCATTTTTATAAGAACATTTAACAAATAGTATGGCACATGGCCACTGGTTGGAAACATCAAAAACAGTTTCCAACCAGTAAACCATTATTATTATTGTAAATGTATAGAGTTGCAAAGTGGCACAAGTTACTACCAAATACCAAGTTACATGATTACTTCTTTAAAATTTATCTTTAATCTTGAACATGCCTAAATGTCATCTGCAGACTATAAAAAAGTGCAAAAGAAATGGCAACAACTGAATACAGTGAAACATTTGTGCAACAATAGTGTCAATGACAGTGATATTTACAAACACAAAATTACACACAATTCTCTTCAAGCAAACATCAGTGAATGGTTGAGTTTGTATTAAGGCCACAGATAAAACTGGTTAATGAAGGAACGATTGCCAACAGTGACCGGCCAATTTACTTTGACCCGTATGAGGCGTCCAAAATTTTCTGTTTTCTGTTCTGTAGATGATCCGAGTGCAAAGTGATCACCAAAGGTCGCGGCCCAATCTCTCAACGTAACGAGTTTTGCCCCACTATAGCAAACTTACTACTCTGGGGATACTACAGTAAATATAGCCTATTACCCCACAAACAGGGAGCAGTCTGTCTGTTCTTCTGGACGGAGTGAGCTGAAATGTGACGTGATGGTAGGCTATTGGTGGCGTATGCGCTCTCCGGGTGCATGTTAGAGTTATTATTTGTTTTCTGCCTTCTACCAATTGAGCTTTAAAAAATCCTATTAATAAATTATCCTTGAAAGGTTCTTATGATGGTAGTTGTAACTATTTGTATCATGTTTCGGCAAAACACATAATCAGTAATATTGAGTTCATTGAGCTAATTAGAAGTTAACTATAGATCCTATAATGTTGCCGGACTATTATATTGACACATAAGTACAAAACTAAACATAATTACCATTTTTACTTCCAACAAAGTGTTTTACAACATAAACAAAACAAAGTGTCTGTCAAAATTATTGCACTGCTTTTGCTAAATGCTACAGAAACACAGTCTTTGGTCACTAAAATAAAGATAATTACATTGCTCAAGTACCAGAAATAAAACATTGCATCAAAATACACCTATGTACCGTATGTACAATCATTATGTTAGCCGATCTTTGGGAGACAAATATTGAATTAATAGTAGTTCATATACTTCCAGTTATTGCCAAACGCTGTTGAACCGTCTTGTCAGTGGAAATGCCCCATGGCTTCGGCAGCTTTTACTCTGACATTGGGGTCTGGGTCTTGAAGCAACATCACAAGTCCTTTTTAAAACAACAAAAAGTCAGGCTGATGTTTGAAATAAAAAAATAGGATGTGGGGGCGGTACCTTTAGTGATGGTGCCCATGTTGAGGTGGGAGAGATGCTCCTCGGGAAGATTTCCAAGCAGAAATCCTGCGTAACAGCACGGAAACAGGTTAAATACATTTGGCTACAGCTCCAGAGGGAACAGAAGTGAGAGTGATGTCAAACCTATGAACATGGCGGCTCCTGCTCTCACTTGAGGCCAGTGACTTTTGAAGAACTGGATCACCGAGATGTGATAGAAGTTTAACATGCTTGGAAAGTCCTGGATCTTAAAACCAACAGAGATGGACAGTAGGATAAATACTTTATAGATCCTGAAGGAAAATGTGCATTAGTCCCTTGCTCACATTTGCATAAACATAACAGGATAATTAAGAAAGTAAAAAAAAACATAATCAAAAACTAGCAATAAATACATAAATACATGTTAAAGCACTGAAGACATTTCCCTCTCTCCTCCTCCCCCTCTGCTCCTCCTGAAGTGGCTCTGTTATAAAGACTGATGACATTAGGGATAAAAGAGTTCTTAAGACTATCCTTGGAGCACCTTAGAGAGGGGAGTCTGGAACTCCGACTAAAACAAATATAATTATGGTCTCACCAGGTACTTGGTAAGGTCATTGATGAACTCTCCGTAGTGCAGGTTTTTGTCTTCAAGAAGGTGGTTTTGAAACATTGACGTGATCTGCTCCGATCCCACCACAGGAGCACAAGTGCGCATGGCAAACTTACAAGCCTACGGGAAAACCAAAAACACACCAGTTAAACAACGGTATCATGCAAGAATCATTTTTATTGAAATGTTTTGTTTTTCTTACCTTCACAACCTCAGGGTTTGGGTCGACCAGGTGCAGCAGCAGACTCACCAGCACATTGTGGATCTGGTCTTTGAAGACGGGCTCTCCAGACCCAAACTTGGACAGGTTTCCCATCAGATGTATGGAGGCACAGCGGATCTCATCGTTCTCCTGTGCAGAGGTTATCTCATTTCACGTATTCATTATAATCATTATCATTGTAACAATAATAATAATAATACATTATTATTTTTATTTTGTTTATATTATTATTATTTTGATTTGTATTATTACTATTATATGGGGAGAAATAACTTACACTCTCCAAGAACGGCTTAATCTTCATGAAGATATAGACCACAAGTAAATGGACATTTTTCTTATCAAGGTGAAGAAGAACTTTTGACAAACCAGACATGGCCTCAAGAGTGATCAATTTATCTGCAACATAAAAGAAATTTACGATTGTAAAAAACAGAGCATATTAACTATTGGAAATGACTTAACAACTTTCGAAAGAAGTTGTTATTTTAATATTTCACCAGGATCGTCCTTCTCCTCCATGCCTGAGCTCATAGCCGCCAGCAGCTCCTTTGCATATTTATTCACCTGGAAGAATTGTTATATTCATCATCTGTTATTATTTAAATGTCATTAAAAAAATATGTTGTGAATAAAATATGTATAAAATAACTGTCACTAGTTAAAAATGCCTGTTTGTACTAATGTCTAAATAATGTGCTTTAAATGAATCTTAAACCTTCTCCGGTGATCCCACTGCGATGTTGCCCAGGCCCCTGACAGCCAGCATGCGGACCGTGCTGCAGTGGTCCGATATCCTCTCCATCATGTTGTTCATTAAGACATCGATCAGCATCAGCTCTGTGGCCACGTGGTGGTTTAACAGCTGCAGGAGACAAAAAGGCAAACTGGTCAATTAGCAATATCGTTTCATCCAAACTGGACCAAGGAACAAGAATTACCTCAGAAAAGAATGCGGTAACAGTGATCCTCTGGGATTCATAGATGTTATTCAGAGACGGACACGAGCACTCAACAATGGCAGGCAACCGTGGTCCAGCATGTTTAGCAATAGCTCTATTAAAACAGACAGACTAGTAATGCTTCTAAAATTAACTATATACCCCTCACCATAACAAAGTAGTAGAGCCAAACCTGGCCAGTTGTGTGATTCCACTTATGTGTGTATTAGGCTCTTTCATTGCCTCCCAGGCGTTGTCTTCATCCAGTCTTTTCATAACTTCATCCATCTGAGCTCGAGCTAACAAAATCCTTAGTGCCTCAGTCGCAATCCTGAAAGAAAAAAATGTTTGAACTCTTAATAAGCCACAAAGCCACAAAGTAAATGTTAATGCGATCACTTATACATTAGTTTGTAAGTAAGCATGTTTGTGTGTTTCGCACCCTGCCACATGGACAGTCCCAGCCTGCTTTGCGTTCTCCTTGGGGGCAGTAACACCAACACTTGCACCAATTCTGATGATGAGACACGAGAAAAGCTGTGGGAACAAACTCAGAGCAGGTTCCTGACTCTGGCCATTTAATAATAAGTCTTTGAGTCCGCAAGTCATCTGGAAAGAGACGGATATAAACTACTTATAATCTTGTATTTATATTGATTTGTTTGTGTCGCGCAGGCTTACCGCGAGAGGCTGGTTTGTGGCAATCTTACTACTTCCAGCTCGGATCATCCCATCTTTGCGCTCAACGAATGGAGCCAAAATGAGCAGTTTTTCCATCACCATTTCCATGATTTGTTTGGCTATGACTGGGTCTGATCCCAAAGCCATCCACATCTCACTCGTCCAACTTGAAATAAAAATACACTTAATATAATATGTTAAGTTTAAAATATTAGACCTATTCACTCTTTGAGGGTGCATTGTTTTGTACCTGTCGTACGGGAATGGCTGGTTTATTAATGTGTTCATCACAGTTTGTAAATGCTGAGAAGCCAAGATCAGAACTGTCTGCCCCACAGCGACTCGCACCTACGACAAAACAAAACATAGTGTCAAAGAAAACAATGTTCCTTGTTGTCCAAAACATAAGGCTCCATCCACGGCAATATCAGGACCACAGGTACATTTCTCGCATGAATGTCTCATGTTTAAAATTGTATTCAACGAGAGCGAAGCTGTTCAGTAGATACTTGAACAAACTTGTTTTTTTTTTAATTGTAAACAATTTTGTTAGAAGGTAATAATGTTTTATGGTAATAAAACACAATACATTTTTCCCATTAAGTTAGCTTTAGCTTCTGAGACATATAGGAATTACCTGGTCCTCTGTAATGTTCTGCAAACGCACATGTAGCACCTCCATCATCTCTGGAACCTAAAATCAACAGGTCAGACATAGGTTTTCTGCTGCTCAATACAAGTGTTGGTGTGTGTTTACTGTGTGTTCTGGTACCAGTTCTTGCAGTCCACCGCCTCGGTTCTTCAGCAGAGTGTTGAGAATGACTGAAGAGGCTCTGCAGCAGTTTATCTGACTGTCCACGAGTCCCTCGAACAGCATGAAGATCAGTGTCGTCAACTGCTGCTGCGGTAATCTTTTACTCATGACCTATGAAGAGAAGCAGAAGATGATGTCTTTAATATGTCAATCATATTAAAGACATCATTAGTTTTGATTTATGTTCCTTGTACAAAACAAACTCAAAAATGATTACACCCAGTGTAGAATACATACACAGTACTCAAACATTTCCGTATTAAGAGCAGTGTCCTGTTTGATGTTCATTTGGGCTGTGCCAAAAAAATAAACAAAAACGCCATCTCCACATTTCTTAATCATGATTATTGACACATGCACAAAAAACAAGAAGAGGAGGAATATTAAATCTCACAAAACCACTGTTTAGAACAGGGCCAGACAGCATTTCTCTTAACCATTCGCAATGCACAATGTCTGGCTTAGAAATCTCATCTCTCTAAAATCAGAAAACCTAATGGAAAATGTATATCGATCCATATGAAGGAGACAAATCCAAAAAACATAAAAGTAATCTTCAAATTAAGTACAATTTGAAGATTAGAAAGAAATAACTAGCTACACAGACTCAAGTATGCACAAGAAATGATTCAAAGTACAGAAGTACAGTAGTAGCAGTAGCAGTAGCAGTAGTCACAGTAGTAGCAGTAGCAGTAGTAGTAATGTACCTTTGTAATGTCTGAACAGGTTTTGTACAAGATAGCGTGGTCTGGATGTTCTAAATTTTCCTTTAATTGGAGTAAACTGTCCACACCTTCGTCCTTATAATCAAGGGCAAATCCTGAAAAATTAAAACAATGTTATCAGTTTCCTTAATAAAATATTTACCCATTTGTTGAAGAACAGTAAACTTCAGTAACGTCAGTTTGAATACCTTCATATCGTAGTTGTATATTGAGCAGAGTATATAGACAATCAATGGCAGCAGTCCTCACAGCGGGGACAGGATCAGTGCATCGCGGAGACAGTCGGCCCAGAAGAGCTCCCAGATTGTGGAAAGTGACCATATTCTTAAAACAAAAAGGAAAAGCATACGATAATCTTTACTATGACAATGTACTGTATGTCATGGGCGTCACAAGATTAGTCCAGGGGCCGACATCACAGACTGAAAAACTGTCTTGACTGGCATTGGGCTGTTCTGCGTTTTAAAAATGATCTATAACAGAGCTGAAGTTGGCTGAATGACAAATCTGCACAGATGTTGGTGCAGTTCTACACGGCCATCATCGGGTCCATCCTCACCTCCTCCATCACCGTGGGGTTTGCTGGAGCCACAGTCAGGGACAAACATGTCCCAGCCGACCCTTCTGTCACAGCCGACCCCTCTCACCCTGCACATGGACTATTCCAACCACTCCCCTCAGGCAGGAGGCTGCGGTCCATCAGGACTAGAACCTCCCGCCACAAGAACAGTTTCTTCCCCTCTGCTGTTGGACTCTTGAACACTTCTTAACCTGTCCCGCCCGCCCTTTATAAAGTCACTTTACTGCCCATCATACGTCACTTTACTTCACTGTACTACTGTCACCTTACATTGTGTGCACCATGTGCACTTGTATATTGTAAATAGTAACTGTAACTATATTTTAAATTTAAATTTATTCCTGAGAAGTGTTTTTTATTCTTTATTTTTATTATCTCTTTCTGACTGTTTCACTGAGCCAAAGCAATTTCCAAGTCTGTGACTTCCTGTTACTTACGTGACAATAAAAATGATTCTGATTCTGATCTCACCAGCTACATTAGCGGAAGTTTGTGACACAATCAAAAACCACGTCAGTAAAGTATGTACAAATAATATCAATGACCGAATTCCAGACATATGGGCTTTAGAATGAGGTCTATATTGGTTGAGCTGAAGTTGGATGGATGACACAGTGAACAAGTGTTTATGATCTCAAAGACTACTTTGGGTTAGCAAGGCAGAGGGCCACATAAAATGACAGTGAGGGCCACAATTGGTCCCCGGGCCTGAGTTTGGACATGCCTGATGTATGTGCTCTGTAGAGTCTAATGGACCATGGTATACCTTAACGGTGAGGATGTCAAGATAGTAGGCCAATATGTTTGCCGTAACCGAAACAGCCCTCTCCCTCTCGTGATCATGAGCTGAACTTAACCAGGATTCAATGTGCTGTAAAAGAATAGATTTGTAAAAGTAAGATACTGCTGAAGTAAATCAAACCGCAAAAAGATTGAACCATAAAAGCTGTAGATTCGTTACAGCGTCATTGCCCGAAAGACTTGCCTTAAACACACTCTGAAGTCCATCTGGAGTGGGATCACGGGACAGGACGCTCTTGAGCAGATCTTGAAGTGCGGCTATAGTGTCTTTGAAAAGTGCCTGCGCAGAATCCACAGATCATTTAAAATACAATAAAAGTGAAATTGTGTTTTTAACTGATATTGTACCTGTCTTTGTTTGGGATCGAGTATTTCGTCTTCTTTAACTTTCTCTGGCGTTTTTGTCTCAGGTGGCAATGAAAAAACATTACTTACGCAAGTCTTCAACAAATCAAATGTCTCATTCTCACTTAGAGCAGGGTCAAGAGCACTGGTCAGGAGTTAAAGGTAATCTACTGTTACTGTTCATACATGACGTTTAAGCCAGCGGAAGAATCACACTGTTAAAATATTACTGGATTAAGGATACATTAGATTGGCACAAGTTGTCATCACTAGATGGCGCATTGGAGTTCTCAAATGATCGGTCGTTTCAGCCTTTATGAAATCCTTATTATAAAAAGGTAAATGTGAATAAAAATAACATTTGTTTTGTTTCCCCCTCATGTTTTTCACTGACCAGCATAGTTGTAATGAGTTCTTGTTTGCGGGTGAAAACATAGCCCTGTTTCTTCACACACTCACTGATGGCTTTAGCAATGAAACCAACACTCTGGATCAAACTCAGCTTCATGGTCATGTCCTGAAGAAAAAACGAAGACAAAAACACGAGATTAGAAAACTAGGAAGCGATTCGCATCAAAGAGTTAAAATTAGGGCTGCACAATGGAAAATATATTGTCATTGCACATAACAGAAGTGCATTAATCATATCACAATGATGTGCATTAAAGTCACATTATTTTTTGTAAAAATCCTGCTTTTTCTTCAGATAAAGCACAACTATAAATAATGCACCCCTGAGGTGGCGCTTTGCCTTTAGCTTGTTAGAAACGGAAGAGATGACTGAAATTGAGAGCAGCACCCCAGTTGTACGATCCAATTTCTGGTTTGGTTTATGCCAATATAATTTCTTTGGGGAAAGAAAATATCACAATATCTATCGTTATCACGGTCCTTGTCACCACTATTGCATATATATTTCCAGTATTGTGCAGCCCTGGGTAAATTACAGAAGTATTATACAATGCAATTCAATTCAATTTGAAGCTAGAGAAACTCAAACTTCTACTCAAACACCAAGCAAGACTGTTGATCAAAAGGTTTTAGAGATTCTATTGACTGCGAGGAGTATTAGTGGAGACTGGTTTCAGAAACAAAGCACAAACTAAACCTACAGGTTGAAGTCTAGGTAAAGATGACAATGTCTCACCTTGAACCACTTCATTGATTTAAATGTTAATTAAAAGCTATGCAGAAGAGACACCTGAGAGGAAAGGAAGAGAGCAGTTTTGTTCAACCGATTCAGAAGAAACCTGAAACTGCACACGTCACGCATTTCAAATTTCAAAGATTAGTTGGTTAAATATATGAAAATCATGGCTCAGCAGTTTTTTGTTGTTGTAGAGCAGCAGGATTAATTGTAATAGAAATTAAGAAGACAGTTTTTCCTTGAGGTGTCCACCAGCTCAGGGATCAGTGTAAAGATGCAAAAAAGGATATTTTATTGTACTATTATTGTGAGAAGTCATCGTCACCATAATGACATAAACTATTGTTTGTGTTGGTAAATTTAAGAAAATAAATTATCCATGTCCTTGTTTTACTTCTTCTCACTCCTTTTTCGAGTTGATACTTAGTTATTTAAAATAAATGTGTATTGTAAATCTCAGTTATGTATATTGAACTCGAAATAAAAACATTTCATTCGTTCATCCATAAAGATATATATATATATATATATATTACATACAGGTTGAACCTGTAGACGTTCAACCCGACGGTTGTACATCTGGAGGTGTAAAAATCATATCATATCTGGAGAAAAAAGAAATTAAAAATAAAATAAAATAAAAATAAAAATGTACATCTGGAGGTGTTGGAAAGAATTGGATGTATACTGGTTTTGTGTGTTCTCGTGAGACTTGCCACTTGCCCCCGAGGGGAGTGCGAAGTTGCTAGACATTCATGCGGCGTGGAGTTGGCTGATGTTATAGTGGTTTATCTAGCAACACATTTTAAGCCGAGCTGGGCCCACACGAGCCAACAGAACAGTTGGCTGTTGGGTAATGTCTGGTTGGTGTATCTAGGCTTTTAGCTGCTCTGTAACAAAGAAAACCTTACATCAAGAGCTGGTTTAAGAAAGTAAATGTCTCCTTTAAAGCCACATAGGAACAAGCAAATAAGGTATAGTTGAGAAATGCTGCACCTGACCACATTATGTCATTTAAACTGAGTTAAAAATATTTTATCATGTAGGCTTGAAATACTATGTGGCACTTCTCAATGTAGCTTTAAAGGATAAAAGGCCATTGACTATGCAAAAAAGTCAATTAGTTTGACCTTTTCAAATTTTGCGTCCGTAGAAACCAATGAAAGGTATGAATAGATTTAGATACAAGAGAGAAAAAGGCCAGAGCAAAGTTACTAAAGCTACAATAACCCCTTGTAGTTCGAGGACGATACCTTGGTCTCTACTTTAATCCCCAGAACCTGTGTGGAGTAGAGGTGAAAATGGTCATACGTTTGTTCTCCTTCCACTTACCTTTAACAGTCTCCAGAGTGTCCAACACCTTCTTTATCACATCATCTACTCGCACGCCTTTTCATTATTACCTTAGTGTTGAAGTGTTTATTGATGTTTCGGAGGATGTCGTTGTCGATGCGGTTTAGGATCTTCTCTGGAGGAGCGTGGAGAGCCACTTGACCATAGCACAAGATCAAAGTGCTCTTCACTTTCTCCACCTCAACCTCATTACGTTCCTATGAGTTACAAAAATACCAAATATGTCGCTGGGTCAAAATAGTAATAGTCACAATGGCCTCATATTTTACATTTAATGGGAAAAAACGGACCCGCTTTGAAACTTTTGAATTTGAATTATTCACCCGTTTTTTGTTACAGACACTAGTATTAATTATTATTTTTGTCTTATTATTTTTTACAGCGTAGATTGATTATAGAGTTCAAATTACATAAATAAATTGTGTCCTGAATAAATAATTAGCCAGTTAAATGGAGAAACCTGGTGGCTGAGATTTTTTTAGGAAGAAAATAAGGGTTCAACTCCTGAATGGAACAGGGGCTTTAATTTGCATGTTCTTCCTTTATCTGCGTAGATTTCCTTCAAACACTCCAGTTTCCCCGTGTATTAGTGAAATTCCCCCTTGCATGCCAACAATAATATATCCTCTCCATCTGCTCCCAGACATCTCTATGTATAAAAGTCTAATGCATTACGAGTAAAATTACTTTGAGAAGGCTGAAGATGCTTGGGCTCTTCTTAAAAGCTTCTGATTTTCCAAAGTCTTCCAGTTTTGCCAAGGTGCCCTCCAAGTGGCTGTTGGCGCACAATCCAACACTCATCGCAACTCCCTATAAAGCAACAACAGACCAAAGTTTATTTAAGCCTACATTGTTGGCTTAGCCGTCTTTACCTCTCGCTCAATGGCGTCGTTGTGATGTGCTGATAAGAGCATTTCATGTAGCCGTCTTTTAACTTGTTCTTTGTTGAAACTGTGCTGAAGAGTCACCCCAATACACCGGTAAAGAAAACTCTGCAGGGAAGAAGTATTGGAAATATACTATTGGTGCAAAGTCACATACTCAAAGACATAAAAAACAAAAGTCTGTTAAGGTGAAACTTACCTTTTCGTCCAAGGCAGTTTTATAAGTGGAGAGGTATTGAGTTGCATCAGATGCCAGCTGAATGACCCATGTGTCTTCTTCCATAGTTGCTAATGTTTTGGACAAGAACTTTTAAGAAATATTAAGACAATTAGACATCACCCTTAGATGTAGTTAAAACATATTTAAAATGCATACTTTGACGACATCCAGTCCATTTTAATCCAAAGTCACAATTAATTACATAATTGTTGCTTTGAGATACAAAAGATTAGCATTTACCTTTAATAACTTGTCTTCCCATTTCTTCTTGTCAAGATTTTCAACTGCAGATTCTGAAATTAATAAAGATAGTTTTAAATAGAGAAAATATCAACACTAATTATGTTGAAAATCCAGATCATACCCTCTAATAGTGTTAGTAATGGTGGTATCTCATTGTCCCATAGTGTTTCCATCTTTGGATGGATGTTATTGCCAAGTACTTGAAGCAAAGAGAGTGACGGAGCCCCATGACCTCTGTTATTAAATGGAAAAGCTGCATTCACCTAAATTACGTGATAAGTAATAATTAATAGCTGTAACTAATATTGTTATTATTACAATCAAGATTAGAAAACACAATTGGCCAGTACTTACCAGCAGCCTTATGAATAGTGTTTGAGAGGTAGGGAGATTAACTGTAAAACAAAATTTCAAGCATGATTTGAAATTAAATAATACAAATAATGTGAATATCAAAGTGTTAACATTTGCGACATTAACCTTCTTGTTTGAAGTCTATGTTGAAACTGCTTTCCTGATTCATTTTCTTCTTATTTCCGAGGATGACTAAACTTTTACAGAGAGGAGTGGTGGCACTGCTATACTGTGGTAGCGTCAGGAAATAAAAAAGTTTTGGCCAAAGAACCTGTGAACACAAGTAAGTAATATTTATTTATAAAGTGCATTTTTACAGACCAAGGTCACCCAAAGCGCTCTACAATGTTCAGAGTTCAGATATAGTCAAAGCCCCAACCAACACCATCCATTCATTATTATGTCCAATTTTATTTATTTATCTACTTTTCCTTCTTCTCCTTTAGTTTCAGATATTAACATTAGCTCTGGGGGTGGGGGGGGGAGTGGGTATCAAGGGGAGGAGTGTAGATGTTTGCTAGACATTCTTACTCTCATGTTTGTGTTTGTCTGTCTGCATTTGTGTTTATCTGTCTGTCTGTTTGTTTGTGTGTTTGTTTGTCTCTTGCTCTAACGTCCTTCTTTGCTCTCTCTCATCTTATACTATGTATCAAATCAAGTAAAGAATAGATTCAGTTAAAGGCCTAAAAATTATCCATCTCAACATAAGAAGTCTGGTCTCTAAAATTGACCTTCTGAAAGCTTGGGTGTCATATAATAAGCCAGACATTATTACAATTTCAGAAACTTGGTTGCACAGCAATATATCAGATGACGAAATTAATATTTATGATTATGTTCTGTTCAGAGCAGATAGAGTTGCGAGAGGAGGGGGTGTGGCAACATATGTCTGTAAAAATCTTACTGCCGTATGTGTATATCCAACTGTGGAGCAAGTTAACTTTGAATCTCTGTCTATTAATATAATCTTCAGTGGCAACAAAAATATTATAATCACTAACATTTACAGACCTCCATCTGCCCCGCCAGACGCAATGAAAAATATAATGTCAACAATTACCTCTTTCCATATTAAGTCTGAGATGGTAATTCTTGGAGATTTCAATAGTAACTGCCTCCATCGCTCCTCTTCCAATGATAGAAGACTTGTTGCTAGTGCTAACCTCACTCAAATAATAAAGGAGCCTACCAGGGTCGACCACCGCTCTTCCACCCTGATAGACTGGATATTAGTTTCTAACCCAGACAGAATTGTTGCCTCGGGTGTGCTGTCCGACAGCTTCAGTGACCACTCAATGGTGTATTGCATTTGGAAGATTAGAGTGCCTAAACTCCCACCCAGATATGTTACTGTAAGACAAAGCAAAAATATTATTTCAGACCACTTCTTAAATGATCTTGCTAACATTAACTGGACAAGATTTCAGTTGATCCCTGATGTCAAGGATGCATGGGAATTCTTTCATTCAGAAATGAATGCAATTATTGATAAACATGCTCCTTTTAGAACAATTCGTGTCAAAGGAAGACATCTTCCATGGATCAGCTCTGACTTGATTAAACTATTTAAACAACGCGATCAGGCCTGGGCAAAGTTCAGAGTCTCTAAAAACCCGACAGATTGGGAACGATACCGTCATCTTAGGAATCTATCCAAAACACAAACAAGGAATGCTAAATCTAATTATTATCAGGAGGCCCTAGCTCAAAACTATAACAACCCAAAACAATTCTGGAACCATCTGGACCAGCTTCTTAATAAGTCTAAAAAAAGCACTGATTATGTCACTGTTGATAACAATACAATCTCTGATCCCTGCATGATCTCTGAAGCTTTTAATAAATATTTTTCTTCCATAAGCAGTGCACAGCACTCAGATTACCCTTACTCCTCAAGCCCATCTCTTGATGTTGCTCATGAGGCTTCCTTCTCTTTCAGCCCAATCTTACCTTCAGATGTGCAACAATCAATACATGAACTTAAAGATAAGTGTAGTGCTGGACCAGATGGTTTAGAAGTAACATTTTTGAAACTTGGTTGTGATGTAATAAAATACCCTCTTACTGATCTATTTAACCAGTCCTTGAACACATGCTCGATTCCTACTATTTGGAAAACTGCACGAGTAACCCCCATTTTCAAAGGAGGAGATTACACTGATTTATCCAATTACCGACCTATCTCTATCTTATGTACTATCACCAAAATCCTTGAAAAAATTATTTTTAAACAAATACACAATTACCTCAATCAGTTTGAAATCTTATTTCCGCATCAATCAGGTTTTCGCTCTGGCTACTCTACGACCACTGCATTACTCAAATTCACTAACGACGTGTTCTGCTCGTATGATCAAAACCAATATACTGGTGCCATATTCTTAGACCTTTCAAAGGCTTTTGACTTAGTAGACCACTATCTGCTCCTTGATAAACTATATTCAATAGGACTCTCTAGGAACTCTCTTTTATGGTTTAATGCTTATCTTCATAATAGGCAGCAGTTTGTAGTTTTTAAAGACGTGCAGTCCACTCTTTCTATAATGGACAAAGGAGTGCCACAGGGCTCCACTCTTGGACCCCTCTTATTTAGTATTTTTATCAATGATCTCCCTCAAGTGTGCACTAACTGTCAAACTCATCTGTATGCCGATGACGCTGTTGTCTATTTGTCGGACTCAAACTTACCCTTGTTACAACATCTTTTACAGGAGGATTTCAACTCAATTCAAAACTGGATTAATGTTAATTTGTTAAGATTGAATATGAAAAAATCGAACTATATGCTTTTTGGTACGCGTCATTCTCTCAGTTCTGCCAATATCAACATCACTTTCAATAACGGCTCCTCAATGATGAGAGAATCTTCAGTAAAATATCTAGGTGTCTGGCTAGATCCTGAACTTAATTTCAAACCACATATCGACTACATAATCAAACGCACATATGCCTGTCTAATGCCGCTTTGCCGTTCATCCAATTGTTTGACACTGCAAATAAGAAAGAAAATTATCATGCAACTAGTTCTACCAATTATTGACTATGCAGACATAGTCTATCAAAACACTTATGACGTGCACCTCAAACCTCTTAATACTCTGTTTAATACCCTCTGTAGATTTATTCTTAAATGTCCCTATAGAACACACCACTGCATATTATACAGTCAACTGAACTGGCTACAGCCCGACAAAAGACGACAGTGTCACTGGCTGCAATTCGTCTTCAAATGTGTGTATTTCAATGTACCCCCATATTTGAAATGTCTTCTAGTTCCATCAACAACAACCTACTTCCTTAGACACTCTGAATATCCTTCTTTTACTACTCCTTTGATACGGAAAGAGGTCGGTCGGAGGTCCTTCTCTTTTAAGGCTCCTAATGACTGGAACCATCTTCCCATAGCATTAAGGTCAATAACCACTTACGGACTCTTTAGAACTTCTCTGCATACACATCTCAATATACGGATTGTTTATGTTTGTAGGCTCTTTTGATATACTTTGTTTGTACAACAATACTTGATCTTTAGATGACTGGGAAGGAGAGAGGGTTGTGTGAGCAAGATTGTCTTGTGTTTAATGTTTGTGTTTATTTATTTTTTTCTGTTTTTCTGTATTACATTTGTTATGTTTTGTGTTATATTGTTGGTTTGTGTAACTAAGTGTTGTACATTGTTTGTATTTGTTTTATGTTTGGTCCCCCTTGCAAACGAGATGTTTCATCTCAAGGGGTTTTCCAACAATAAATTGAAATAAATTGAAATTCACTCACTCGTTACATTCAAACCTATTGTACATGTTTTAGTCGTAGGGGAAACCAGAGCACCTGGAGGAAACCTACACAGACCATGGATCTATAATAATAACTGGATAGGGTATAACTAGCTTAAAGGTGTCCCACCCATGGGCACAGGGGGCGCCCGTGGTACTGCAGTCTAAATTCACATGGGCTACCCAGAAAAAAGTCACATAGAACTCAATGTAAACTAAACCAGCTCAACCTCAGCTAACAGAGAACCTACAGCTTTCATACATTTTGCGGGGATTTTTGTGTCCCTTGTCATCCTGAACTTTTTTTCTTCTTAAATCCTTCAGTTTTCTTTAAATCCACACTTTCCTGCCACAAACTCTGCTCCTTTCCTTCCCGCTCTGACTCCACTCTACCGCTACTCTTATCAGTAGCGCTGATTGGTCAGAGCGCAACCGAGCCCCTCTGTGCCCGTGCGTGAGAGCCAGACGCGTATTTGGCGCAACGCATCATGGGAGCTCGTCCACTGCGCAGAACTGGGAGGACCAGACGATGCCCAAATATAGGTGAGTTCCGCTCATCTCCCGGTCCCCGTGACGTCCCATGTGCTACAGAGCACAAGCCAATCATTTAAATAGTGTGCCATCTTGGATCACCGGGGCTTGACACAGACAAAGGGTAAACATGCCAACTCCACTCAGAAAGACCCTATTCCGACCAGTATTCAAACCCAGGAACTTCTTGCTGAGAAGCGAGTGCTATCCACTCTAGCCACGCCCGTTAGAATTATAAATTAACTCAACAACTCATTAAATGAAAGCAAATAGTTGTCCACGCACATCTGCGAGTTGTCCGACAGTGGTGGTGAGCAGATGCAGAGTGTTGTCGCACATGGATCTAAGGGCCTCATTCGTCACCTCCTCTGGATCTGTGGTTCTCTGTCCACGCTGAAAAACAATTTTTACATTTTGTTAGAATTAATCAAAAATTCTCATAAGAAGTATATATGGTTGTGAATAAAGGAATATGTACATGGTATGTGTCAGGGAGAGCACAGTTTTGAACAATGAACCGAACCAACAATTCCCCGCCCTCCAACTCCAGATAACCATGATGGGCCATGGCACTGATCACCTGCACCACACGCTTCTTCACCTTTAAGTAACACAAAATAATTACATGTATACATACATTTCTGCTTTGGTCACCATGATATCAGACAAGCAGAAACTGATGTTACCTTATTGCTGTGGTCAGCCATCGGTTGTCTAATGCTGGCTAAAATCTGGAGCTTTTTGGTCTCCATCGTGGAAACTGAAAGATACAGATATAATGTTTAAACTTAATGGCTTAAAGTTAAAGATCAAACCAACAAAACCAAAATTATACCAATGATATAACTTATGATTGTATATCAGTGGATATTCATGTTTCCTCACTAGAAGAGTTGATGAGATGCCGCAGCACCGCCAAAGAGCCCAGTCTACTTCTTTCATTGCTGTTTTCCAACCCATGAAGTACAAACATCATCAACCGGCTTGGGAATGTGTTTGCTGTAAAAAATAAAATTACATTAAGAGGAACAATGCAAGTAGCAGTACAAACGGGCCTAAACTAGAGAGAAGAGGGATCTGTCCCAGTTAATATAATTATCTTGTCAGGACACTGAGTCTCACTCTCTAACGCATGATCCCATTAGTGCTCGTGACTCTTTAGAGCTAAAACACTGAGAAAACACTGGACTGTCCCATACGCTTATGAACGCCACCGTACCGAGTAGACTGAAGCAGCGCAAGACCTCGTTGTGGTTCTTGACGGTTGGAGGATTACTGTAATCCACTGGAATAGACACCTAAAGAGCAGAATATAATGTTCATTATGTTCCCACTAGTTCAAATATTGTTTAATACATGTTTGTGTAAAATCGGTCCAGCATTTCCTGTCCCACATGACAGTTGTATCACATCCCCTTCTCAAAGTTACTATGGTTTAATGTTGCAAGGCACATGACAGCAGCTGTTTGTCACATGTGTGACGATTGTCAGCTAAGGTATATTTAGCTTTTTAAAATTATGATTACTTATTTGTTGCATTCATACCTGATGATGAAGGGGGAAAAGTAAACTCTCCAGCTGTGCTTCTAATACTCTGCTGCCCATATTGACGGATGCATCAAGAACTTGGCACAGACTCTAGATGTGAGGAAATGGGTTTGCTTTAGACAAAATATATACCATTGAAATAAAGCAGAATACAGCAACCTTACCTTGCTTATAATATAATTATCATTATTGTGTTTTTTATACAAAGACAAGATTGAGGGAATAAGTTTTGGAATGTGCTCCTCCAGTTTGTCTCTTGCCATCAGGTGGCACATAGAGCCCAGGGCCTCAGCCACAGTGAGTCGCAGCTGAGATAACGCAGATCAGTTTCATGAAAAGATTATTTAAATCGATTATATGCAGATAAGTAAGTAAGAGTTATTTAGCATTAGCAATGGCTCTGCCAACTGGATTTGACTTACCTTGGGTTCTCTGCTTTGTAACCAGTTTTGAAAAAGAATGTCAAAAGCAGCAGATATTTCACTGGAGAAAGTGTCTTTTCTAACTGTGGGATCTGGAGCTTTGTCAAGGTTTGCCAGGTACTCCAGGATGCTGTCACAGAAATGTCGGAGTGCTAGTGAAGGGGAAAATAAAATCCATTAAAAAGCAGATACTATATTTATGTGTAAACATGATGACATATTTATATACTGTGAAATGTTTTGTAAACTTACCAGAAGAAAAGACCCACTTCATATTGTCTTGTTTGGCCATGGCGAGCATGGGCAGCATCGTACCCAGTATGGCATTCAGGAAAGGAACCATCCCAAACACTAAAGTAAAGAAAGATAATTAATATTGCAGTTCAAACTTAAAATTCATGTAATAAAACTCTTGAGAAGAACTTTAGTTTTTACATCTAATCATACATACACATGAACAATTTAGATTTGAGGTATTGCATAATAAAACTAGCGAGGTAGGAGTAGTCAGGTCTTGCAAGACGTGTTTACTTAAAAGTTTACCTTTAGACAGGTTTGACAAGTTTACGTCTTTCCCAACAATGGGATTCCTTTCTCATCAGGATTTTGTGGATAGTCCTTTCAGAGTTGACTCATTCCATGCAAACTGATAAGATTCATATATATTTTACAGCGTCGACTGTTCATTCTTACCATTTGAGTCTGACAGATTGGCCAATGTCTGAACAACAAAGAAGTGGGGCAGAATTCCAGGTTGAAACTTGCTCAAAATCTCCTCCATTATGTCATTTATGTGTTTGTTTCCAACAGCAACCAAAATATTACTAGCAGCCTGTTGCCAATCAGGGATGACATCCTGTTTTGGGCAGAAACACATAAAAGGATTGACGTTTGTCACAAAAAGAGAGATTTTGAGTGTACATCCAAGCAATACAAAGGGAAACATATATTTAATGATACATTTGATAAAGTATAAAAACCTTTGAACGTGTCATTTCATCAGATGCAAGTGAGATGATGATTTTGATCTTATTGAAACTGATCTCCTCAATTTGGCTGTCAACAATCAGTTCAATTGTTCGAAGAATCACAACTCTGTGGCTCACAATAAGCTAAATGGGGAAAAAGTGCGCATTTACAATCACATGTAAATAATTTAAACATACAACTACAACTAATACACTGCATATCCCCAGGTCAACATTGAAAACAAGATTCTTTTAAAGCATGTAACTGAAAATGCCTCTTAAGGAAACAATTCTACTCAATTAAATCACATGACACACAACAGCCAGAGTGGACCATCCAGCTATTATTCAGGCCATCCAGATGAAGGTGACTAGTGCTACATAAGTGTCATGCATCTGAACATTTTTTAACTGTCCTACTTGTACCTTTGGGTGTTTGATCAGGTAGTCTTGGCACATGGCAAGGACACGCTCCGGCTGCTGCTTCCCCAGGGTCAGCACAGACTTCCTAACCTGCTCCTGGACCCCTGTGTCTTTGTCATTGGCAGCATCTAATAAAGCCAGTGTCACCTCTGGCAGCAAGTGTAGAAGAGAAAAGCATTTTGAATATGAATTCCCATAAGTTTGAAGCAATTCATAAGAAAGCCTTACGCTCCACATCTGTGTCTTCCATGGTGCAGTTCTTCTTGGGATTGATGTGACCACAGGAGCTTGTCTTCAGCTGGACATACCAAGAGAAATCTGATGGGTCCAATGCATCCTAAATCCTAAATATACTGATGAATGGAAATAATAGTAATAAAAGTAATCTTCCAATGCTATTACGACATTGTGTCTAGAAATGGAGTTGTCATGATGTATGTCTTTACAACAGTAATAAGAAGCACGTGAGTGACTTCTCTGTCACTGATGCAGCTGACTGAGCTAACTTGGGCTAATGCTACAATAGCTTCTGCTGCTACGGAAGGACTGGAGTGTTCACGTTACGCACAACAAAACGAAACAAATGTCCAAACCCTCACTTACCGCGTACCTTATCCGTTTCTGTCCACTTCACAGAACCTCGTCCACGTAAACAGGAGCCGTGTGAAAGCAGCTGTTCCCGCTGTCATGAAGTGTGCAGGTGTAAAAGTGTAAACAGGCGTCATGTGTCATGTGCCTCAGCTCCCGAGAGAGGGCGTGGCCACAGCAAACACTTTGATTTACAATTTTCAGTCTAGTCTTTACAAATGATACAATATTACCTCAATACTTAACAGTCTATGCTCAATACACATGAATAATCTAAATAATGTATCTATTCTCTTACTTCTATTGTGTCACTCTATTATCTGCACTGTATCTCCTGCCTAAACGAAGTAAATGTACATGTAGATATTACAAAATTGTGTAAGACCACATACAAAAAGAAAAATAAGCAGCATTTATTATGTACAATTTGCATATTTTACACAGTAATTCCGTGTATGTACACTTATTTACAGTGGTTTCAACAACTGGATACAATATAAAGTTGAAAGTAAATTCACAAAGTAATATAAGATAAAATAAATCTACATTACCATGGATATTGTTATCTATATGTAAACTGCTTTGCATGTGTGTAAATATTAAGAATGAGTATGAAAGCATGTGTTAAACAAGGATATAAAACATTGTTAGGAAATACTGAAGACAAGCAGCCAACCAGAGAAACATCAGCATTCTTGCATACTAGTGTATCACCAATAAATATCAGCTTAACCACTCCTCTCAACATTGGCTTTTATGTGATCATCACCCTGTAAAGTTCCATTGCATTTAATTTTCTATTTTTCATTTTAAAGCTGAATTAATCAGACGGAGTTGCTGCCATCTGTGTCATATTTTGCAGGAGTGTTTTTCTCAAGTAGCAGCAGTTCAGGCAGGAGTCTCACACATTTGACAGCATAGGATCTCATACATTAGACAGCTCACGGCCAGCTTGTTTTTTCCTGAAGAGAAAAATATCATATTTACAATTAACAATAGATAATTATAATTTTAAAAAGTTTGAATAACTAATTAGGTTTTACAAACTTGTATGATGACTGTATGGCAACATTATCTTTAATAGATATGCCTGATGATACATACTCATTTTTGGTGAGCGGTGCCTTGTCACAGGTCTCTTTGTGCTGTCCCAGGTCCTTTGAGGCCTGAAGAGCAAGCTGAGCGAGCTGGTGTGAGCTCCCCCGAGAGGTAATTCCCTTCAGTTTCACTCTGCAACATGGCCACACGTTACAACACTGAACAGACACCTTCTCAGGGAGCTAAGACAAGTCCTCTTTACCCATTTGCAGGAGCATCCCCCTCGTCAAGCACCTTCATCCCTGGTACTTTCTGTCCAAAAATCTTCACTGCAATAGTCATGAGGAGGCCACAGTGATTCTTATAGCAACAAGTCGCATCAACGATCAAGAAAACCACCAAGAAGATCAACAAAACAATACCAACTATGGTGCCTTTGGTCAAGGTGCTACCTTTATCTGAAAAATGAAGAGCATTTAGTTCAGTTCTGAGCCAATGGCAGATTACGGCCATTATTATAGAATGGTCTATTACAAGGCGGCTCTGCAATGGTGAAGTTGAAGCGAGCTGGAATAGAGGAACCATTAGCATTGATGGCCATGACCTCCAGATCATAGTCAGAGCCAAAGGACAAATTCTGGAGGAAAACTGAATTTGCATTTCTGGGAAGCTGTGTCTCTTTCCACTCAGCAGATTCAGAATCCTGGGAGAGATAAACAGATGTTGTCCACTTTATAGTTATTTAATTAAAGCCAGAACAGACAAATCATTAAAATACATAATTTTCCACATGAATGAAAAATCTGAATGAATTGAATGATTTGTATTTATGAATGAACTGAATTGTAATTTCAGCAGCCGGGCGTTACCTGTTTGTAGCGTACACTGATGTTTAACAAAGGAGATCCACCATCATCACTTTGCTTGACTGGGATGAAGAAAGAGTTTCCTACGATTTTGAAATGATCGGTCAGCAGGATGGGACTGTCCGGCTCTCCTGGAAACCAATGTTGCTGTTAATGTTAATAATGAGATAAATAACCTGGCAAATTAACTTTACCTTCTGTGAGTTTGGAGCAAGATGAAAGAAAGCAGCAGCATTAGGTAAAGAAATGAAACATAATATTAGATTCAATGAATATACAGCAAATGGACAGTAAATTCTTTTGTTGATATCAGTATTAAGGGTTGGTCATGTTTTTAATGCATTCAGAACTGATCTGTTTCAAAAGCATTGACAAGTGCACAAGACTTCACTTCATTCAGACAAAATGTGAAATTACATATATTACATTAACAACATTGAATCATAAATGTGTTGTCTTGGATAAGTTATCTCTGAAAATGCTAATATACTGAATAATGATACAGAATTGGTCTTATACTGCAATCTTCTGGACATGCAAAGATACTCAGACTACATTCATTTAACTTCACATTATTAAAGTTAAAGTACATAACATTAGTCATTATGGACAGACTGAAACAATGAACATCTAAGATATTCAAGTGAAGTTTCCTGCATCCTGCTTTGTTTTATTTCCTATTTTTTTATTGTCAATTGTTCTGTGTTATGTGCATGTCATTACAGACAGTAAGTAAGTAAGTAAGTAATCTTTATTTATATACCGCCTTTTCACTGCACATCGGAGTCTCAAAGCGGTTTACAATTGTTATTTTTGGGAGCGGGGTTGCCAGTACAGGAGGCACATGCCAGACCTATTGTACATATTTTTAGTGGTAGGGGAAACCGGAGCACCCGGAGGAAACCTACGCAGACACGGGGAGAACATGCAAACTCCACTCAGAAAGGCCCTGGTCCAACCGGGATTCGAACCCAGGACCTTCTTGCTGAGAGGCGAGAGTGCTATCCACTCAGCCACCGTGCCGGTTTCCGTGTTTCAAACTAGAGAACAATGTTAAGAATGCAGGTTTTCACTTACGTATTCCTTGAGTGCGAATGATGTTGGCGTCTGAGAACATTCCCACGCCCACCGCATTGAGGGCTGCCAGACGCACCGTGTACTTTGTGTAAGGCTTTAAGGATGCGATAACCAGAGTTCCTATCAGCACATAAACACATGAAGTCAAACTAATCCAAACATGCTTCGTGCCTACAATCACCAGAGATGTGTAAACTAAATGGAAATGTAATACAATTCCTCAAACTAGTTCACTCAGTCACTCAGCCAATCAGATCTCAACCCTTTTTTAATAAGATGAAGATATCATGTTGTCCTTTTACTTTAACACTTTTACAACTACAACAAAATGTATTTCCTGTATTTAGAAAAGAGAAATCAGAATCCTTTTTATTGCCATGTGAGTAACAGGAAGTCACAAACTAGGAAATTGCTTTGGCTCTCGGTGCAAACAGTTTACCATTTCATCTTAGGAGAATGGATGATCTTACCTGACACAGGTACTGCCATCTCGTTCCATTGTTCATTTGGACTTTGCTTCCACTGCAGGACAAAACTTGTGATGGGTGTTCCTCCATTTACAGGCAGCGTTTTGAGGCTGAAAAGGACCGACGAGGGTCCAGGTGAGACGGACAGGTAGAGTGGAGGGCCAGGCGGAGCTGAAAATCAACACAATGATTAGCACTAATCCTTCATATACACAGGTGGCCTTGTCAGCAGGAGAGCAATAGGCAACCTTCATCTTCTCATTCAAAAGAGGGAGATAGGTTTTGTGGTTTATCAATCAATCAATCAATTAGTTTATTTCAAAACCTGCACAAACATTTTTTACAACGGTTCATCTTGTAAAGCACATGCATGGTTTGAAAAGGGGGTTGGCAGAAGCAAAAGCTTATTTATATCCAACCACCTCTCACACACTCTCTACAACGCAACCACAATGCAAAAACAAGAAATCACAAAAACAAAAAACAAAACAAACAAAACAAAAAAACAAATCTATATCCCCTTGGACTACCCCCACCGGTCAGGTAAAGTAGAGCATATACAATACTGTAGCGATACAACACACAACAAAACCAGACAGGACAACCAGGACAGGACAAGACAGGACAGGACAGGACAGGACAGGACAGGACAGGACAGGACAGGACAAGACTCACTCACTCAGACACTGGCCCCGGACGTTCTCCGACCACACACCACTCGCTCAATGCTCAGCTACTGCTCAGGGAATCATGCTCCCTCTTCTGCGTATTTCTGCAGTAATTCTTTTTTAAAGTATTTTTTAAACTTGGTCATGTTGGAGCATGATTTTAATGCTTCCGTTAAATCATTCCAGATCTTCACTCCTCTGATTGAGACACACATTGATTTCAATGTTGTTCTCACTTTAGGGACATATAATTGTTTGTTTCCTCTAAGCCTGTATCTATGATGGGCGTCTCTATCATGAAAAAGGTTTTGTATGTTTGCTGGCAGAGAGCTTTCAGATGCCCTGAACATTATCTGAGCAGTTCTTAGGCTAACCAAGTTATGTAGTTTAAGTTGTTTAGTTTTGATGAACAATGGATTAGAAGGATGTCTGTAGTGAACATTAGACACAATCCTTATGGCCTTTTTTTGTAAAATGAATAAGGGCTGCAAATGAGACTTATAGCAGTTTCCCCACACTTCAACACAATAATTCAGATATGACATTATGAAAGAATGATATAATAACATGAGCGCATTGGTATTAATTAAATGACAGGATCTCTTCATCATTCCCACACATTTTGCAACTTTTGTCGGCAGGTAACTAATGTGAGGTTTCCATGTAATTTTGTCGTCTATAATAACTCCCAAAAATACATTTTGTTTGACATTCTCAATAGGTGTATCATCAAGTACTATTCTGACTGGTATTTTACTTTTACGATTACTGAAAAGCATAATTTTAGTCTTTTTTAAGTTGAGTGACAATTTGTTATTATTAAACCACCTCATTAATCTGGTCATCTCCACTGTTACGAGGGATAAGAGTTGCTCCAAGTCATTTCTTGAGCATGTAATTGTGGTGTCATCCGCAAAAAGTATAAATTTCATTAATGTTGATACTTTACATCTATCATTGATGTACATGAGAAACAGTGTGGGTCCCAGAATTGACCCTTGGGGAACACCACAGGTGATGTCTCTGAAACCAGACCTCTGTTGTTCAAACTGTACAAGTTGCTTCCTACCATTCAAATAACTCACCAACCAGTTTAGGGCCGGCCCCCTTATGCCATGAGCCTCCATTTTGTTTATTAGAATATGATGATCGATCGTATCAAAAGCTTTTTGGAGGTCAAGCTTTTGACAACACAGGAGACTTCTTCCAAGGCTTTAAGATCATGTTTGTTTCCTGGGTTGTGTCAATGTTTGAAATGAAATTGTTCACAATCCGTTTTATTTATATTCTGGAGTTCTTCCCCAGTCAGCTGCATTTTATTTCTTTAAATTTGAAGGTTTAGGTTATTGTCCAAAATGTCTGTATTTGTAATTATGTATAATGTTTGGTCATGTTTTGATCATATCTTTGGGCCTCTTGAGCAATGGGACCTGCTCCTAGTCTTCTGGGGTCCTGAGCACATTTTGTTCAGGAGCCCAAGATGATTGATGAATGTGGTGAGTCAAATGTAAGGTTTAGATTTTGACATATTAGAAGGGGAAAATGACACTTATTTATATAAATAGGCTAAAATACCATATCAAAAATGTCATCCTCTCATAGGGCCTGTATAGAGCAGTGGAAAGAGTAAACTCTCAAAACAAGATGAGGGTACAAAGCCATCAGAAATAACATAAACTCCAGGAAAAAAACTACAAAAACAGATTTTTCACAGACAGGGGTCTGGTTGTAATTCAGATCCTTATAACATTTGTTCAGACTTACTGTGGATGGCTGCATCCCTGGACGCGTTCCCAGAGCTGCTCACTGCCATGCATGAATACAAGCCACCATCAAAGGGCACTATATCCTCAATGAGCAGCACTCCGTCCACAGCACGGACGCGGCCGGAGTCTTGACCCTGGGCACCACATTTACACTCATGTAAGTACATCAAAACAGACAGCAGAAGCGTGATTAATCAGAATCCAACAATTACTATAGGAAGTCCGTTCTGTTTGTTGAGCCAGTGGAGCTCTGGCTGCGGATGTCCAGACACATTACAGGAGACGGACACTCTGTCTCCGACAGACACGCTCTGCCGTTCAGGGGACACAGACACCTCAGGGGCCTCTGAAAATGCAACACTTTAGTTCACATGATGACCACCAAAGGTGTTGGCCGGTCATGAACAGACAACAACAGACTGAGATGTTGTTGGTATGAGGTTTTAGATGAAGAGGATTCCGTAAGTAACTTATTGATAAATGTTTAAATCTAATGCACAATTGAAAGAAATACTTGACTGAGACAAGAGGTGGTAAACGGCTGTTGTAGCCACAGCTGCCCTGAGGCAGACTGCTGGAAAAAATTGCTACTAACCTGAGCTTAATTTCTGAGATCTGACTGAATCAGGCTTTCAAATGTAGGTGGTGCCACACATGCAATGCACTATGTGTTGCATTCATGTATAGATCTTGATTTGTGACAGGCCTATGGGGAAGTATAGTTCTCACCAAAAACATGGAGCGTAATAGTCGCAGTGCTCTCCCCAATCTTATTCATGGCTGTGCACATGTATTCTCCGTAGTCCTCCCTCGTCACGGCCCGGATGGTGAGTTCACTGCGGTCAGAGTTGAACTGATGCCGAGACGGGTCAAAAGCCATGGGCCTAGACCAACATCAAATGCAAGTAAGTACTCAGACAGCCTTGGTCAACATACATGTATAGGGTATTTTCTATCAGCATGCACTTTGAATAAAGGTAGATCATATGAATAGACAATGTTTGATCCATCTGAGTGTGTACATTTTTCTGGTTGTTTCAAAGTATCATATTAAAAAATATGATATAATGCCATACTGTGGGACTATCCATGCAGGCAACTCAATAATATGGTTTAAGACCTTGTAGATAGATGCACAGCAGGAATTAAGCAAGCATGCCCTATCATTGAGCTATTCTATAACAAAGTTGACAATCTCTCACATGGTCCAGGTAATGTTGGGTTTTGGGAGGCCATCCACTAAACATATTAGGGACACATTTGCCTCTCGTCCAGCCAGAACTTTTATAACATCTTCTCTCAGATGTACTTTTGGAGGAGCTGAAAAAAGGTGCATGGTATTATTCTATTGGCTTTGTAAATATTCATGTTCTAAAAATAAAACACTGACCATTGATGACCACAGACACGGGCAGTGATTGAACGATTGGCCTCCCTCTGATATGAGCTTGGCACACATACATCCCTGCATCCTCTCTCTTTACTTGCCCAATGAAAAGTGTGTTATCTTTCTGTTGCCAGACCCGCCTAAAACTTAAAGAGCTTGTCATTAGACTGCCTTGGGGTATCTCCAGTTTGTCTCTGAGCCACACAACATCCACTGCTGGCTGCCCAGACACCAGACATGGGACCAGCCCATCTGTTCCCTCCAGAAACTCATGGTAAGATACTGAGCCTTCAAAAGATGGGCCAGCTGTCAATGGAAAATAATATGAAGTTATTTGATGTGTTATATAGTTGATTACTTTACAATTTATTGTAAAGACAGTATAGTTACTTACAATATATAAAAATTAGAGTCTGGGTTTCATCCGTGTATCCTGATTCAAACTCGCACCTACAGATATATCTTCCAGAGTCCTGTAGTGTAGCCCTGTTGATCTGCAGTTTTGAGGAGGTTTCATCTAATTTATAAACTTTTTCGTCATCGTCTATTTCCTCTCCATCTTTGTGCCAGGTTATCTCTCCTTCTCCACTCGCTGAGAAGTTAAAAACTTAAGTTAAAAACAAATCAGAAACATTGCACTGAATATAATGAAAATACTCACCTTTGCACAACATTAAGACATCCTCTCCCACCTGGATGTCTTGCTTTGATAATATGATTTCTAACTTACCATCTAAAAAATAATAAACTCTTTGTCATACATTAAGCTCCATTTGTTTTTTCAAAAACGTCAAATATCATTGTTATCCATGTAGTAGAAAGTAAAGTTTGTTTCTTACCTGAGCTGCAAACTAGTATCATCAGAAGTGATGCTGCTGACCACAAACCTACAAATGCCTCCATTGCCAAACCTTAAAATGAACAAATTACACAAAAAGGTGGCTGGACCTTGAAGCTGGCTCTTGAAGTTCGAAAAACCAAAGACTATAGACAAGGTCTGGGGTTATATAGAGTCTGAAGAGCCGTGGAGATTGCTGCAGGGGAAGTTAGGGGGGTGTGTCACTATAGACACGCAGAAGCCGTGAAGGGAGTGACCACTGCTACTGGCTTTAGGACATTACAACTTAAACTTGGATTTGATGTAAATAAACTATTTTCTTGAATACAGTACCACCACACAATGAAGATGCCTTATTTTACTAGGAATTACTCACCAGATTTTTGGATGAATTTTGGATTGAGAATTAGGTGATGATGGTCCAGCTCAGGGTCCGGTAAGGACACCACTTCATTATATTGCTATACTACAATCTTGAAATAGTGTTGCAGCTAAACTGGAAACAAAAATACTTGTGAGGGTTTTTATTTAAAAAGCAAATTAATTTACTTAATTTAATCCTGTCCTACACAGTGTTTCTTTCACCGGATGAAGCAGGGAAGGCTGCTGTCCTCAGGGAATGGGAGATGGAGAGAGATATTTTTATCGTGTCATCACTCAAAAAAAGGGATGAAAGTCTTTCTAAACACAAACAGTGCAGATTTTCCTAGAATGCTACAGTGGTGTCCAAAATGTTTGGTCTCAAATATGTCCAATACGCTTTGTCTCACATATTTCAATTCCCAGAAGTAAAATCTGTAAACTGTACTGACCCCGTTTCCCAAAGTAGAATATATTGACTTTAATCTAAACGGAAATGTTGGAATTAGGCTTTTTTTATAAATAAATATATTCAACAATTGATGGATATATTATTTTGCATTAAAACTTATTAAAGATGAAAGGCTATACCGCTATGAATTGTATTTTATATTATTGTAGTAATATTATTATTATGATTGAGTTTTGAGTTTTGTAACTCTTCTCCAAGCCTGTTTTGGAAATCAAACTTTGAATTCGACACCAATTTAAAAGATGTCTTTTGACATAAATACCTAGTATGAATTATAATTTTCTACAATTATGTTCCTGCTTACAACTACAGCATAGCATTGTGTTTCTCTGACGTTTGTGTTCTATGTTTGTGATAGACGGTGTCTGTGGAAACACATGTCCATCAATACAATAAAAGTCTATTCATTCCAAATCCACCATTAGAGCAGTGTTTTAATTACAATACAATACAATACTATACAGTATTGCTTCAGGGAGCTGCTTCAGTCCTGCCCCGGACCTGCACCCGGTTTTTTTGTTGAGGTTTTTCTTGTCGATGCAGTAGGGTCTGTTGGACAGTCAGTGTCCAACTAGAAGGACAGTGGTGATGATCCAGGACACTTTAACATTCTACAACATGTATGGACATTTATCAACATGTGTTCTATATTCTTTTTGTGTTTTAACTGTTGATTCTCTGATCTGTGTTGATGATTTCAATGATTCTGTTAAGTCCTCTGATCTAGGGCTATACAAGAATAACGGCTTATTAACCGAGCGCGAGGTCTGTATGGAGAAATATCAGACCGCGGCCTTAATGTACAGACCGAGCCGTGGTGAGGTCTGTGCAAAAAGGCCAAGGTCTGATAGTTCTCTGTACAGACCGAGCAAGCGAGGTTAATAAATGTTTTATTATATGACTCTCGTCTGTGTCTTTACCAATGCTTTTGAGATATTTGTGAAGTATGTTCATGTCCGACTTGGTTTTGTGTGATACGCGCTGCGGACAGATTGTCATGGTAACGGTCCGAGATGGGAAAATATCAGACCGGTAATCAGCCAATCAGAGCGCGCGTACGGTCCAAGTCATATAATAATAAATTGTATTGTATTGTTTTAATTCACATCTAACCAGTCCAGAAATTACAGAAGATATTTTCAGAGGGTCCACGATCTCACAAAAGTCACAACTACTCATTCTGAGCTCCACAGAGTCCAATACCTTCTAGTGGCCCGCTGCCAGACAGACCCTCCCACCTCTCTTTTGATATAGCTTGTGTGTTTCTGTGCTGCACACTTGACCAATCAAAGAGTCCGTAGGGTCCAAGTATCAACTGCAGGATCAGAAATGGTCATTATGGCTCATTTCAATGGAGTGTGCTCATAACGAGGCCAAGAACACGGACACTCTCACAGGTTCATTCAAGATTATGGCAATTATTAATTCAAAGATTATAGTAAATATTTATTTCTTTGAAAACAATATTATATTTCTTCAACATTCTAAATAAACAAAAACATAACTTCTTTGACATGGAATCTGGTTCCCTTTGGACAGCATGATTCCTGGGACATCTCCTACTGTATGTAGAAAAGGGCCAATAGTATTTGAGACTTTAGAGTGAGAGAGCCTGAACCATTCTATTCTCCATAGATGTTATTGTTGTTTTTCTGGAAAATAGCAGAAAACTTGTAGAATATGTATTTATTTATTTTGACTTAGTGGGCCCACAAGAACAAAATAGTGCTTAGAGAATCTTCCCAATATAGCCGTTGGTTTATTTTGCTGTTTGGCAGTGATAAACAATGTATACTGTATACTGTACCTCTGACAGAGTTTATAAAACACACCGGTGGATGTAGATCACGTTAATGGACAAACAATGCAGGAATAAACCGGGCTTGTTTGGAGAGAAGACATAAGGACGCGACAGGAAGGACAGAGACACAGCCAGCATATGTCGTAGCCGTAGCCGATACAACCTTCTCCCACTGAGACATGACGCATTTACAACCTCAGTTCAAAACCCAAATCTTAAATTCATAATTGACAAGATACTGTAAGTTTTTTTGCTAATGTATAAATGCTACTCAATCAGGTCACAAAAGAGTTCAAGATCAGTAAACATTTCATTTTAAATATACCTATAACTGCAATATCAAGATAAGATATACTTCAATGATCTCACAAACGAGAAATTTACAATCAGAATCTGGGACTAGATATATGATACTGTAGATTATGTTATTGATTCTAGGTTTGTACAACTTGGGTCGTCCTGTTTCATCGCTGCTTTTTTGAAACTTGAATAGTTTTACGACAATGAAAAGTTGCTGAGTGTCGTTGCTAACAGCACAATGCAGGAAGTGCTGTGTGGATGCAGACAGATGCTATCAGATTATTCTATGACATCATTGTAGTAGAGCAGTGTTGAGCCTGTGTCTGTGACAATAGGGACAAACAAACAGATAGACCATACAAGAGGATATTAAAATAAAACTCAGCCAAAACAATGTTGTTGAGTGGTTCTCAAATGGTGAATCAGGACCAAAAAAAACATCTGAATCTGAACAAGTAAAAAAAATTGGGGAAAAAGGTCCCTCGAGTGATTAGTTAGTCAAATAGTAAATCTAATAATCTATGAATGTAAATGCCTATGTTTGTTTATATCCAAATGTCACCAACTCGTCTGTCACTAGAATAACAACAGACAGGACTCTATAAGCAACATTTCCTTCTGTCCACCTTCAGTTTCTATATTTATCCAGCTTTTATTTACACAGAATAAATGAGGTCATCAAAACTTTTACTTTTGCCAACAATTGTTTAACTACTAATAAACAAACCAGGCACAGCACTGTATATTTGTGAATTGTATTGTTTATTTTTGCCGAGCGAGTGATTGGGAGCTATTTATTTATGCGTCTGCTCTCTGCACCTATTTATCACAATGACATATGCAATAGTCAAGAATGAATAAGGACTGGTTTTTTTTGCATAAAAAGACAAACGTCCCAAAAAGTTTGTTACTAGACACAAAGTCCATAAATGCTGTTGTCATTCCTTCTATCAAAACTCACTCTAATTAACTTGCATGCATAATTAGAACCTTGGTAACATATCCACAACAAGACTTTAATAAATGTATTGAAATGTCACCATTAAGCCATGAGATCATAAATGCAGGGAGGTCAGTTTACGTTGGAAGCTGTGTCTCTGACGATTTACTCACACAATGGTTGAGCTCTGTTTGTTTGACTCGTGGTTTATTGTTCATGACTGGATGAATTCAGGCCTAAACATTGCAGGTTGCCGCTGGGATTTGATATTCAACAAAAGTTTCCTTTAAGGATGTTTTCTTTAATAACAGGTTTTGAAAGAAAACCACAGGTGATGGCTATGGCTAAACAGTAAAGCTTGTATGATAGCTGTAAAGATAAACCATGGACGATATAATATTCAAGTAATGTTTGTTAAAAAAAAAAAAATTAAACACTTTGGATAATTCTAGTAGTGTATTTTTTCATCCCACAGTGAGGAAAAGTTTTCGTCTTCACTTTCCCTGCAGTGATGATACAATAGTTTGACTGATGAACTAGCAAACCAGCAGCTTTTATTCTTTAATAATGTATTCTGCTTTTTGCTAGTATCAACTTGGACAGACATACAGTAGTTCAATATTTCAATTAACACATTGTGCTAGCTCAGAATCAAACTGTAGTATGCCACCAGAACCACAATCACTGATGACTTTTGTTCTGGCAAAGGCAAGTGATAAGAGATCACATTTTTGACACGTGAGGAAAAATAATTTTAAAACTATTATTTTGTAATGTTGTTTTACTACATCGTTCCCTAAATCTCTGAAATGTGCTGGCAGCAGCTCATGCTTTTACTCGGTGCTTTGACAATCTGTCATGGAATCACTTCAGAAGATACAGATGTGGCGGATGTTGACGTGAGCATTTGCGTAAATAAAATCAAAGACACTACTTTGAGCCACAGCAGAGAACTAAAGCTGGTGAAAAGCCTACGTGACTCTTGTTTTGTCTACACTTTACTCAGGGACTTGTACTGTTTGTTTTCCTCGGCATTTAGTGCTGCTCTTACCGTCACCCTGGTCCACCCTCAGCTCACACCCACAGCCTCCCACTGTGGGACCATGCAGGATGGAGAGTCTGCAAGACATATTTTTTGGCATTAATTATGGATACAGAATAATTTTACTTTAGATTATCATAGTTATCATGTTCTTCTGCAATACTGTACACAATATTATTCTTGAGGGGAATTGGTCTCTTCTATGAATAATAAAGAACTAAAATATGACTTAGTTTGAATGTTTGTTTATTAGTATTTCCGTCCATGATTGTGTCAGTGGTATAAAGCAGTTCCAATAAAATGTTCATTGAAATGTGTATCACCATTGATCATCTCTTACTATCTATCTACTATCTATCTAAACAACTATGTTCAAATCCGCTTCAAATTCAGTTTATTTGCCATTTGCAGTAAAACCACATTGGAATAAATTTGAAAAAAGTCCCCAGTGTGCCCAAGACAGTACATAAATAAAAACAAGGTTAAAAATAAAGAAGTAAAACAATTTAAAGTGCAGGAAACAAGTGTCGCTTTGAAATGAATCAACATAAACAGTATAAATACATGTGCGATCATAAGTGCTCTGTTTAAACTGATAACAGTTTATGGAACGAAGCTGTTAGCATAGCGAGATGTTCTGCATCTCAACGAACGATATCTTCTGCCAGAGGAAGAAGCTGTAACATGGATTTTCCAGGAGCCAGAGAAGTCATTGATTATCTTAAGAGCTCTGTTTAAATGTCTGGATTCATGAAAAACCTCCAGCACAGGCAGCTAACAGCTCACAGTCCTCTTTCAGAGCGAAGCACCTTGTTTAAAGCTCTCCTTTCTTTGACTGTGATGTCACCAAACCACATAGTCACAGAAACAACAGCAAACTTTCATTGGTGCAGCGACAAAAGTAAAGCTTTGACTGCACACTTGTAGTTATAACAATAATTGGAATGCCTCTGCAACATGCCTGCCTTAAAAAAAGTTAGTTTAAAAGGAGTTTAAATCACACAGAATCTGTAAACTCTGTAAGTTGCGAGTCTTACAGGAAGCAGATATGATTGCTCTTCTCTGGGGCGGTTGGCTGCAGGCAGTGCCCCTTCCCCCTGGGCTGGCTGTCGGACTGTCTGCCGCTCTACGTGACTGATCCAAGGTCTGGGAGAGGCAGCACAGGCCGCCCGCCGCTGCTGATAACACTAATGAGCTTCCTGCCATTACAGCTAATTGCCCCAAGACCCGGATCTGGGCAGACACCCATGTGGAGTGGGTCCCATTCAAACACTGACGTACATGGATTTTATACTGGTCTGGGCAGGTAAGCTTCAGTGTTCATATGCACAGATTTTCAGGTTGGACTACTCATTTTGTTAATATACAGCAACGGTAATTATATTTCTGATTTTGCTTTAACTTTGAGAAATATTATATGGTAGATATTATCCCACCAAATAAAAATCTAATTTGTAAAATCATAAAATCCTGGCATAGTACTTTAATCGAATAATCGGGAAGAAATGGCAATCGCTTTTCCATTTAACTTATCCACATCTGACTAATGTATGTTCTGTCTGCACACTTTGTCCGATTACTTAAGTCTAATGACATTTGAGAGTCAAAAGGAAAATTAAAAGGAGGATGTTTACCTTCACTGTATGTTATCTGCCCTTCACATATAGTGGCTTTATGTGGCCCCTGGGAGACAATGGTCTGTGTCAACTTCAAGGAATGCCTTCATTTCAAATTTAATTTAAATACTTTTATTTTCTCTGAATACATTATGAACAATAATTCATATAAAAATAATCTGTAGAGTTTGTGTCACATTGTCAACTCATTTGATTGTTAATAAATCAGATCAATTAATATTTCCTCTGCAGAAATATATTTTGTTTGGAAACAGCCATAAATAGTTTGTTTTATTTGTGAGTTTAGAGTTCACATGAGTCCTGATTCATCCCAGATGTTGATGATTTGACTGGAAATAAGAGGGATAGTGTTTCAACAAGTTTGACTAATATATATTTTGGTCTAGATGGGCCGTATGAGTGTAACCGAGGCCACGTTGTGGTGTGCTGAAAAAAGAGCATCAAATTGTAATGACGTCCTGTGGGTCAAGGCAGGACAAGGGCCGCGAGGTGGGTGTCCTGGGGCAGGCACCACAGGGTCTACAGACACACCACACACACAACACACTCTGTGCCCAGGGGAGAGACAGGAGGGACATGCATCTGATGACATTTCTGTGACATGTTAGAGTATTTAATGCCATTTAGAAATAATAGAACCTTTTTTTTGTCCAACATTATGTAAAACACTTTCAGCTACTTGTGTGATTGATTTAACTTAAAATTTAAAACGAATATAATCAGTTGAATGAAGGACTAAGTCATTAAAATGAAGCATGAAATAGCAAGTTGATGTATACCTATGAATAAGCCACAATTATGAATGCCTATTTTTGTTTATTTGTGTATATATTTAATTTCAAACAATATTTACAATACAATTAAGCATTTAATCTATCCCTAAAAATAAACAAAAAACAGTCTTCTCTCATACTGTTCGTGCATTTTCCAGCTATGTCTCCCTCTTGTGGAAGTATTTCATACCACAACATCTTCAGTGTTTTTTCATAATTTGATCTGCAAAAAAATGCAATCAGATCTGTGTGGGTGCCTCAAACATTCTCACCAAAATGCAACAAAACATATACATAAATGTATTCTAGTAATTTCCAAACAAAAAGGAATAACTAATAATGCATGCAAATAAGTTTGATACTATTCAGTATCATTGATAGTATCATTGATAGGCCAAATTGTGTCGTCATGGTGGCTATGTTTCGTTAATCAGATGTTTTATCTTATTTTGTATTGTTACATTTACTTACATAAAATCTGTACATGAGTTGAGCAAGGCTTTCGTTCAAGCGGAACTATATAGTCAAGTTTCAGTGTCCCCTGTCGGAGTGTAATGTGGCTCGGACCTTCCGCCTGTCATTCATTCAGGAGTTTTTTTTTTCCACGACGGGTCCTTTACTGGCTGTAAGTAAAATAAAAACTCAGCTTAGCTCGTTGTCAGTCTGATGCCCAATATTATACACTGATATACAGCATATGTCACATTTTCAATAAGATCAGACGCGGTGTTGAACTACAGTGACAGGTTTACTCTTTCCACATGACCGCTACTTAGCATTAGCACCTCGAGCTTTGACACTGTGCGATATGATACACATTATGAGCCTTTTCATGGATTAGGCTTGATTACTTAAAACGTAAATATAGACTATTACATGTCAAATGTCAATTGTAGCGTATAAGAGACACACTGAACTGTTTAAACGTATTTATTCTGTGTATTTGTTTTATTTCTCTCTACAGTTGAGGGATACCATCAAGGACCATGACTTTATTTCATTTCGGAAACTGCTTCGCATTGGCATATTTTCCGTACTTCATCACCTACAAGTGCAGTGGACTGTAAGTGCCCCATGAAATATTTAGGAGACAGAACGTGTTTAATATGTTTAAGTGGCGTCAGCAGTTCACAGGAGACATAATCCTCTTAATACTGTTAAGTGACCGAGAGGGGGCTACACTACCACTGGCACATTTAAGAGGATCATAAAACACATCAAAATAATAGATGTATTCAAAATTGAGTTGTTGCAATAATTTCCCAATATGAACACAGTAACATTTAATTACCGCAGGACAATATTGGAGATGTAGTCTTTGTAATACAGCTAATATAAACTCTATAGTGCCAAATAACTGACTGACATGGTTTTAATTAGAAATTACTTTAGTCATTGTGATATAAACATCTGCGTTAACCATTTTGTTCATATGGACATTGCGTATGTAGACTGAACATAAAACAAACTCCCCTAAACAGGTTGTGCTACTTTTTTCCAGTTGTTTTAGACATTTCATTAAAGTATATATTTTGCACGTCAAGCAAGTTACATGTGTATTTTTCTTCAGGTCAGAGTACAATGCATTCTGGAGGTGCGTTCAGGCTGGAGCCACTTATCTTTTTGTGCAGCTATGCAAGGTAAGCTAGTTATATTAATTTTTGATATTGTACTCCATGATACGATAAGTTTAAAGAATAGATATGATATTCTGATTTATTACATTGACTGAAATGCACAGTCAGGATACCAGCTTTACCGTTATCAAAGAAACGATACCTGATCCCAAAAGAAATCCTGTAACAATACACTATCATTCCTAGTAACTAGTATTGGATCCTCTGGAGAGAGTTATGCAGCTGTTCTCTTCATTGTGGCTGTGAACTTCTCAAAAAATGTCGGACGATACGCTCTAGAAAAGTTGAAAGAAATATATATTGCAAGTGCTCAAAGGGCTCACAAAAGTTCAAACATGGATGAAATACAGGTGGTCATCAGCGATAAAGCATTTGATGATAACCAAACGAGTAGATGTATTGAGGCAAAGAGCGGCTTGTGCTGGAACACTTCTTATAGCTTTGTCATGGACATTATGACTTTGTTGGCTCAGCTTGTCTAATCTGAACTCTCGATAATCATGTCTTTAAAATCTCCAGTTTAGTCTTGTTAAAAAAATTCTGCGACTAAAAAAAAATCTGTGTCTGAGTGTCTGACTGGGCTGCATTACCATAGACTGCATCTGTAAGGGCTGAGCACAAACCTGTCCTATTAAATTACCGAATACAGTTTGTAATGCATATTTGCGTTTGCTTCAGATGCTCTTCTTGGCAACATTTTTTCCGACATGGGAAGGAGGAGCCGGAGTTTATGACTTTGTTGGGGTATGTTTCACATGAACAATACATGATTGTTCATGTCCCTGTGTCATGTGAGTGATTAAAACATGCCCTTAACATTCTGTCTTCAGGAATTTATGAAGTCAACAGTAGATTTGGCCGACCTGCTGGGCCTCCATCTGGTCATGTCCCGTAATGCTGGTAAAGGAGAATATAAAATCATGGTGGCTGCTATGGGCTGGGCCACTGCTGAACTCATAATGTCCAGGTGAGCTCTCTATATTCAATGGTTGGGATTGAAGTGTTTACCTCTGAAATTTAATTATGTATATTCCATTTATACACTATTTTGAACTGATTTTTGCCTGCTCAGATGTCTTCCTTTGTGGGTCGGAGCCAGAGGCATTGAGTTTGACTGGAAATACATTCAGATGAGCTTCGACTCTAACATTAGCTTGGTGAGTGTCTTGTTAAATGCTTGATCCAGGTCATATATCCTTTAAATGTAACCTTTCTTTCGATGCTTTTAGGTGCACTACATTGCTATGGCTGCAGTAGTCTGGATGTTCACCAGATACGACCTCCCTAAGAGCTACAGGCTGCCGGTCACTGTGCTGCTGGCTCTATGCATCTACAAGGCCTTCCTCATGGAGTAAGCACGAACCAGACACATACCAGACACACAATTTATCATTTACACAAAGAATGAAAAATGGATTTATTGTAATGTAATTAGATTTGTTTAACTCTCAGAATCCTGTTCACGTGTAACAAGACCAACATTGTCGATGGTATTACAATGTGCTTTGTTTTAGCCAAGTTAGCCAAACCTTTTAACCCATTGAGGCCGGGAACGCATTCCCGCGTTTCTCCCTTTCAAGCCGGGGGCACTGTTGCGCACTTCTACCTTTAAGGCCGGGAAAGCGGACACGTCTTTTTTTCCTATTTTGACCTATTCATCTCATTGATCAATTCTCTGAACCAATGAAATGTATCAAGATATACCTGTGATAAGAATTATCTGCGGATCTCGAACGGGATTAACATCCTCCGCTCTGACCCCGGGAGCAACAGTGGCTGCTTTGACAGCTCAGCGAACGCGCAGCCACAGGGGTCATGTACCGAGCACGGACCATAGACGCGCGATCAGGACCGAGGGAGAGACGGGCAAGACTCGCACTTGCAGCAAGTTCACTCCCTCGTTTGTCCGTCTCTCCCTGTCTCTCCCCCATGTCTCTCCCTCGTCTCCCCCTCGTCTCCTGACGAAGCGCAGCCAAGGCTCACTGAAAAATAAAGCTCAGCTACCTAAATTTTCACTTGCATTGACAATGCATGTTTTTTGGGAAAAAAATAAAATGTGACCAAATTAAACAGAACAAACCAAAACAGTCATGTTTTGTTTATTTTTCTCACTTTAGAAGGAGCCTTATTCTGAGTAATTATTTGACTTTTTGGGCTGAGAGTGGATTTTTTTCCACATAGTTAGTGCCACTTAATTGCCAAACTCTTTTTGACTTATTGCATTGATAAACATGTGTTAGTCTCACATTGTTTTTGGTTGTTTTATTACCTTTCCTGTGTGGAAGTTGTATATTCTTCTACTGAAGTTTTATAATACACTGCATTCTTATTGAAAGCCACAAAGTGTCAGCTCTCAAATTCTTTTGAAATTATGTTTATATGCTACAGAGGCCGAGATACCAATCATTTAGTAGACGTTGAATTTCAGGAAAACTTCAGGTTTTGGAGGGTGGTTCTGAAGTCGGCCTCAGGTTTTGCAGGTCTGTTTTACCAGGCGATGCAGGCCTTAATGGGTTAAGGAAAATAATTAGTATATGAGAAAATACATTTCATACTTTAACTAATTGTGTGGCTGTTTTTCCCATATTAATTATCCTTCAGAGTTTTAATTGCATCATGAATCTGAACACACTATTCAAATATATAATCTTATAAATTTGTAGATTTATTTAATTTTTATTTCAATGTTTTGCCAACATGTTTTGGTTTGTAACTAGTTTGAGTCAAAACGCCATTCAAAGTCAAACCACCAGACTAAATATCACAAGCGAATATGTAGTCTGGGAACATCCATCTTCCCGTAGGAGAGAGGGGTGTCCTTTACGATTGTTCATAGCCTTTATTTAGGTGCCATAAATGTTTATACGTCTGCATGTTTACACCAATTGTATCAAT